TGTCACTTTGCGACCACTTTCGTCAAGTTTCTCGGACTCATAATCTCAAAAGGGTCGATACAGATGGACTCAGAGAAGGTCAACGGCGTGCTCAAATGGCCGGTGCCCACCAAGGTAAAGCAAGTACAAGCATTCCTTGGTCTGGCAAATTTCTATCGACGATTCATCAAGGATTTCGGATCGATGACCCGACCCTTGACTCTATTAACACGTAAGGACGCACCATGGAAATGGGAAGATCCTCAACAACAGGCATTCGAGGCCCTCAAAACTGCATTCACTTCCACCTCGATCCTCGCACTCCCCAACGCAATCCGTCCCTTTAGACTAGAGACAGATGCCTCGGACTTTGCCACAGGCACGGTCCTTGAACAGTTGGGAGAAGATGAACTTTGGCATCCTGTCGCTTATTACTCCAAGTCACTCAATGAACACGAGCGCAACTATGAGATTTACGACAAGGAAATGCTAGCAATCATTCGGGCCCTGGAAAAATATAGGCAATACTTTGAAGGACACCCGCACCCAGTTGAGATATGGTCAGATCACCTTAATCTTACCTATTTCCGACAAGCTCAAACACTGACCAGACGACAAGCTCGATGGTCACTTTACCTTACACGATTCAACTTTATTCTCCGTCACCGCCCCGGAAAGACGATGATGCGTGCCGATCCTCTGTCCAGGAGGCCAGATCATGAGAAGGGGGTGAGCAATGACAATTCAGGGCAAACTTTACTTCAGCCCGAATATTTTGCCATCCACGCAATCTCAGCCACTCATTCCTCCGAAGTTGACGATGCAAAACTTCTAGAAAGAGTAAAATCGGCACTACAAGACGATGAAATGACCAAAGGTTACCAGCACCTACTAAAAACTGGCAAGCGAGAGTTCGGAAAAGATCTCCAAGAGTGGAACTTCGAGCATGGATTGCTGCTCAGAAGAGGAAAGGTCTACGTTCCAAAGAACTCTATGCTGCGGAATGAGCTGATTAAATTACATCACGACATCTCCACCGCCGGACATGCCGGACGATGGAAGACGCAAGAATTGATCAGCAGGAACTATTGGTGGCCAGGGCTTACCATTGATGTCAAGAAGTACGTTCAAGGCTGTGTAGCTTGTCAAAGAAACAAGACGAGTAAGCAAAAGCCTTACGGACTATTACAACTCAATCCAGTACCACAAGGGCCTTGGGAGATGGTTACCTGTGACCTGATTACACAGCTACCGCCAAGCCCAGACCATAGGGGAGAAAAGAAGACTGCCATCTTGGTAGTCGTCGACCGATTTACCAAACATGCCCACTACTACGCAGTAGATGACACGGTGACAGCATCTCAAGTAGCGTCGATTTTTTACAATGAAGTATTCAAACTCCATGGAATTCCCAGGCAGATTATTTTGGATCGAGGCACCCAGTTCTCAGCCAAATTATTCCAGGAGTTCTGTCAGAAACTTCACATTAAGTCGACTATGTCTACAGCTTATCACCCAGAAACGGATGGACAGACCGAACGAGTCAATCAGATTCTGGAGCAATATCTGCGCATGTACTGCAACTATCGACAAACTGATTGGGCCACATTATTGCCCACGGCGGAATTTGCATACAACAACCAAGCTTCAGAATCGACAGGTCTATCACCGTTCTTCATAGAGCATGGTCGACACCCCCGCATGGCACCCGATGTATTGGAGGGAATACAACATTCATCCCTGGAACATTTATTCCATAACCGCGACCAAGCACAGGAACAAGCGCGTGCCGCTCTGTCATTAGCAGCAGAACGTATGAAATGGTATTTCGATCTTAAAAAGCAGGACGTCCCTTTCAAAGTAGGAGACGAAGTGCTTATTCGAGGAAAAGATCTCCATGTAAAAGTCAAAAGCCAGAAGCTTGCGACTCAAAACTATGGACCATTCAAGATCCTCGAAAAGATCGGGACCGTATCGTTCAAACTGCAATTACCAGCGGACATGAAGATACACCCTGTGTTCCACGCTTCAAAGCTAATCATGTTCCATCAAGACTCGATTCCTGGACGCATACCTCCCCCTAACCCTCCAGTTATCATCGACGGAGAGGAAGAATGGGACGTAGAGGACATCCTTGATTCAAGAATCAGGTATAACAAAACCCAGTATCTCGTTAAGTGGTTAGACTATGACCACAGCGATAATACTTGGGAACCACTGGAAAACCTCACGAATGTTAAAGACAAAGTAGAGGAATTCCATAAGACACACCCAGATGCTCCAAGAGCTAAGCCGCGAACGCGCAAAGCGCACAAAATCGCCCTGTCTGACCACCCTGATGAGTTCATGTTTTTCTTTCGCCTTCATCCAAATGCCCGAGCTCCCTACAAGGGATCTAGTGAAGCTGTAGGATGGGATGTCAAGTCCGTACAAGACTTAAACATTCCCCCACATTCCAGAATGCTCGTCGGCACTGGGTTGGCGGTCGACCCCCCAAAATGGACATACATTCGAGTAGCCCCCCGAAGTGGGCTAGCCCTCAAAGGCATTGATGTCGCAGCAGGGGTAGTAGACCCGGACTACACAGGGGAGATCAAGGTTCTGCTTGTGAACACGACTAGCGAACCATTCGAGGTTAAGACAGGTGATCGTATCGCCCAGTTCATATGCGAACGCTACGTCCCAGGAATCATTTCGGAGGCAGATAGTTCACTCGCAAAAAGAACAATACGAGGTGCCAGAGGCTTTGGCTCATCGGGACGATGAACCTTGAGAAGGGGGTGATGTCACGGTTTTACCTGACAAGTCATTAAAAGGAACAAATGCTATTAAAGAAGCATATCATTTTTCATCATTTCTCGTCGCACAAGAAGTCACGTGACCTAATGAGATAAGATAACGAGGCATCCAGTCACATGACCTCGGATCTCTCTCGGCATTGTCACGTGACACCGAGCTCCTCGGCATGGCGTCATATGTCGCAATCACCATGATGACATATTGCGTGCTCAAGAGGAGCTCCGTCTCCGTGGGTTATTATTAGGCAGCCAATCAGGATAATTGGGACATGTCGTACGATTGCAGCACTGACCAGTAGGATAGCGTGTGACTCGCTTAGGTATTACTGTACAGTAGCGTAGCAATCATGTATATAAGGACCAGCGAGACGAGGAGGAGACCTCAGTCTTATTCTCCTTCGTCCACCACTACTATCACAGAGGGGTCTTACCAGACACTCTCAGTGTGCTATACATCTCATTGCATTCTCATTTGTGTGATAGCGCCTCTAGCCTCGCCAGTAAGTCTTGCTCTGCGACCAGCTACTAGGCCTCGTCAGTGGGCACGTCGTATCGCCACAGCTCGTCACTGTTGGCTATTAGCCAGGAGGCCCTCAAGGGGACTCTATTTCTGGTTGTCTATCTTTGTCATCGGCGTGCCGTGACAGAAACCATTGATCAGTTTGGAATGAATAACTGTGCTCCCAAAAGGTCACCCTTACCATCTGGTATCAAGTTGGAGAAAGCCAGCGACACTCACCATCTTGATATGAAACTTCGTCATCGATACCAATTAGTCATTGGCACATTACTGTGGATTGCCCTTGGTACTCGACTGGACATAGCCTATGCAGTCAACAGGCTATCACATTTTAACAACCACCCCACAGAGGAACACATGAAGTACGCTATGTGGATCCTACGTTACCTCAGCCATACTGAGTTATATGCACTCATGTATTATGGAACTTCCAATGCTGGTCTAATTGGATACTCTGATTCAGACTGGGCAGAAAATAGAGATGACAGACGCTTGACATCTGCATATCTATTTCTGATGGCTGAAGGACCGGTGTGTTGGGACACACGGAGGCAACCCACTGTGGCTCTGTCATCCACTGAAGCAGAATATATTGCACTGTCTGATTGTTCTAAGCAGGCAATCTGGCTTCGATCATTTGAGTCTGAACTAGAATTTAGCACAGGGATGCCACTCCCACTCTGTGTCGATAACCAAGGAGCAATCTTCCTGGCTGTCAATCCAGCTCATGATCGAAGAACAAAGCACATTGATCTACGTTACCACCGTGTACGCCATGAGGTTGAGAGAGGGTTAATTACTCTCTATCATGTTCCCACTGAGGAACAATATGCGGACTTGCTTACCAAAAATCTTGGTTATCTAAGGATAGAAAAGCTATCACGCTATATTCACCTCACTCATGCTTGACTCGATTGTTCGATCAAGAGAGGGTGTTGAAGGAACGGTTGTATCCTGATATGATCTACACGATCGATCATGAACGACGTGACGTGACAGTCATGTGCAGGGAATAGAATGTCATAGAAACTCACCGAAGGTTCTAGAGACATCTAAGAGTGTTCCATTCATAGGAACCAATCGTATAATCTGACAGGATCATACAATATGGACATTGACAAAAGAGTAATATACCATTGGACAATACCTGTTGCCACTGGGCTAAATGTATTAGCACGATATTACTCATCTATGTAAGTATCACGTTACTGTAGGTACCAGTTGTCCATGAATGGTGTACAGGGTCTCATCCCATATGTATATATACTGAGTAGCTACAGCGTGAATAGATCCAAGTCCTCTAAGCCTGAACAAGGCCATCTTCTACTCCAGCATACTATAAGTTAAACATCCGATGCTTTGTCGGATAGCTTGATTGACCTCACCATGGTATCTTTTGAGGACGAGGAGGTGGACAAGGAGGTGAAAGTGGATGATATACTGTGAATTTTGCACGGCAGCTACGCTGTGCTTTGTGAATTTTTCTTGTAAAGCTTGATATATACAGGATATCTTTGTACGTGAAATATACTGTATGCTATAGTCAGCACGGTTTGGCCGGCTTTAAAGTTGACCAAATCAGTTCAAGCTCAACACGACCAGTGTACGTGCACCTTCACGTACTGGGTGTGGTCATACATCCTTGGTGCATGCGCAAGTGCACAAAGCTTTTGGTGGCCCCTTCTGCATCCCCACTAATGTCCATGTCTCCAGATAGGCCCATTTGTAGGCCCACTGAGAGCAGAGTGCTCTCTCTGATACGCTCGCCGGAGAAGGCTACAATCGATGACCAAGACACGTTGCAAGCTCAGGCTCAAGGTGCATGTCTGACAATACCTCATGTCGTCCTCGAAGAGAAAACTGTATCTTCCGCTATGGCGGCCAGCCTTGCGACATCTCTGCTAGGGCACGTCTTGTTTCTAAAATCGCAACTTCCGTTGTGAGTCGTCCGTTCCACGTTCATGTGGGATATTGCTGCATGAACATGCTCTAGTCCTATCGTACAGCTGGCACGTATGCCAGGTGCTAACAGAGACCCACGCATGGTGAAGAAGTGAACGCAATTGCTTGCAGCATTTGACACGCTGTCCTCACACCTCGGCATGACATTCTCAGCCCTTTTTAGTGCAATGCTACAGCGACAATCTGAGAATGAGAGTCCATCGAAGGCCCGATCTGCATATCTGGCATTTGTCCTGGGTCCAAGCATAGGAGCTGCACGGGCCAAGGTGGTTCTCATAGTGGATGGACTGGATGTTAAGGTAATAGGGCAGAAGGATGAGAGGACAAGCAGGCTGGACAGTATGGCGACCACTGACAGTCAGAGTCCGGAAAGTGATGACGAGGGCATTAGCGAAGAAGACAATTTTGACGCAACAGACGATGAGGGAAGTGATTTATGAGACAGCTACAAAGCCCCGTGCGTCTCGTTTGCCCTCACCATCTCCTTCACCCTTCCAATCTCCGGTTCGGTCATTTGTTCTGTTCCAGGACCAACTTACGATGCCGCCGCCCATAAAGACACCTTTATGGCCATTAACTTTGTCATCAGGACTTCTTTCATCATCTTTCACGGTACCAAAGGAAGCCACCGAGACCCTCCACCGTCGTCTATCTGCCTTATCTGAGCCAGCTACCCCATCGCCTCCTCGAACATTCAATCCTTTTCAAGCGCAGGTATTGACGCTGCCACCAGAATTATCCCTACGGCAGTTATCTTTGTCCTCACCAGCTCTTACACCACTCTCCCAGCCTCGAGTTCGGACAATCACTCCGTTTCAGGATCATCTCACCATCCCCATCCAAGCTGACTTTCGTGAGGAGGAGCAAAACCGCAAACCACCAGGACGGACTCCCCTGAAAGTCTTGTCATCACAGCCTGCCCTGCAGAGCCAACCGGCCATACCTGCTAAATTCGATACGTTAACCGAGGAACAGAAGAAGATACGAGCAGCTGAGCATCTCCTCTCGCGAACGCTAGCTAACACATGTGTTGAAGGTGACGGAGGCATGTCTCGCGAGCTTGGTGCGTGTATCTTCCGTCAAATAGTTGGTGGGACACTAATATCCAGCAACAGCGCCGACGCATGCGTATGTCCTGCTACGTGTGCCGCGGAGGTTTGTGCATCCCACATGGGTTCCGAGGCAGAACCTGACGCGCTCGCTTGAGGTAATGCTTCAGACATTCCTGGAAGAGGCGAGCTGCGTGGAAGGCTCACATGAAGATAAACGTGCTAAGGCGAGGAAGGGCATGAAGGCCAAAGGCATCTGGATCTCTTGTCGTGGAGGTGAGGTCAACCCTGACATAAAGCTCAATGTACGAGAGAATCAAGATGAGGAGGATGAAGACGATGACAAGGATGAGATGATATGGTGGGCGTGGGACGGAAAGATTATTGGGTTCACGGATTAGTGATGGTCATACCATGCATGCTGTGTTCGGAGACGGTGACTTCAGGACTCCCCACTATTCACGGAACAGACATGTATGATTAGCCAGCACTTACAACACTGCAGACAACATTCATATGGATAACCTTCTTTGCTAGTAGGCTTGTGAGCTTTCAACATAGACTTACACTCAATTCATGATTTTTGAGCACATTCATGTTATCGAAAACTTTTTTCAATTCAGCTTTCTGGGACTATCTTAATGACTCTATAATCCATTGCTATGGCAGGATGGTTAGAAGATAATCTTCAGGTGCAAACAGGCTATACCTCAGAGCCTGCATGCCTGTCTCTAAGATCATGTCAAATATCACCTTCATTGGCTCTTGAATAATGAGCTCTATTCAGTATTTATAAGAAGTGTGATGACATTTTGATGAAAGGAAGATGCATACCAGACAGAGGAAATAATGCATCCAATATACAATAGTGTTGAGATAACAGGAGAGAAGCTCACATAATGTTCCAGCTAGAGTGCTTCAACCTCTATAATCAATGCAAGCAAGTCAGAGAAGACTATCATTTCAGATATCACATTGGTCTACAGAATTTGCTCTTCTGAGAATAACAATGAGTTTGTTCTTGTGCTTTCCTTCTTTATCCTGCTCTCACGAAGGATATAGTCTGACACTTCCTGTCTTAGCTTTATAATTGAATAGGCTAATTGTGGCTGTGGTCAAACACACCTTAGTAAAATTGAAATTTATTTTTGACACATTTTCAGAATTTAAAATTATATCTGTTAAAAATCCACAAGACTGTGTATTTTTAATACATACAAGGATGTAACATTTTATAAACAGCTAATTTCTGTGTAAGTATAGCCTATAAAATGTATGAAGAGTGGCGTACATATGCAGTAAGCAAAGGGTATAGTAAGGTAGTTAAGCATGATTGTATGCTTTTGTTATTCCTTCTTATCTATGCAATCATTCAATAGCATAATGTTTTCCTTCTCAGAAAGTCATACATTTTTAATTTTCATATATAAAAGTTAGAACATGCTGTGTGCTTTTTTTCATCATGAAAGGTTACATGACGATATATATCTTTTACACAGTTACACTTTACTCTTTCACAAGGCATTCACACATGCAGATGACTACCATTTCTGAACACTTTTTGACATTCATGAGTTTCACTTATTCATCTTAAAAAGTGCTGCCAAGTTTGTAGCATTTTATAAGGATTCTGAGAGTCACTGAAGTTTATATCATGTAGGAGGTTAATGTTTAGAAGAGACAAATCTTCTATTATCTTTTCAATGTATAAAAGGGCATCAGAATTTTAACATTTTTAAGTGACTATTCGTGCATTTTCCACTTCATGAAACAGTGATTTTTGTAGTATATATATAGGTCATCAAAATATATTTCATGCTTGATTGTGAAATTCTAAAAACATTTTTGAATTCATAAATTGAGCTTAAATGTATTAGATCTCACTGAGCTTGAAAAAATATAATGAAGTGCCCTTTTGTCACACAAGTATTGGAATGTAGGGAATCACACTGGACTGGACAAAATTATTTGACAAAAACAGCAATTTATGGGAATACTTCCCGTGCAATAGCTATAACCTAAACTATTGGGGCCTCACAGATCCGAACCTACGACCAACGTAGGTGTAACGAACCTATAGATGATCAACATCTACCACTCAGCCATTTGCTCTTACTCAGATTAGAGCAAATACTTTATCTTCATATGATGAATCACTCGTGGATCTCCAGCAAAACCCGAAATGACTGAGGTCATTGGTAACTTGCGTCGTACTTGTGTGTCCATGGCATGCCCCTTAAGCTTGCGATCCAGCTCTCCCTCATTTCCAGATCTTCAACATCGGTACCGCCATGGACAGCACTAAGGACCGAGGGTGACCTTGGATGCCCATTCGACCGCAGGAGGGATGATTAGTTCTCCTCGCGCTGTACGTAGCCATGTGCTGTCAGCATTGTCTTTGCTGATACTTGTTCCTAGCCGACCGTGCACCTTCATTTTGAGAAGATCTTCCCCTACCTACAAAATTTCTCTTCACTGCTGTCATTGGTAACTTTGTATCCGTCCTCACTGAGAGCGAACTCGAGGACGTTTTTGTCAGACTGCAGGTAAGCTTTACTTAAGCTCAGTTAAAACCCGGTCAAACAGTCAACTTCTTAGACAAAGTCATCTGAGACCGGGAGGACAAACCGGAAGGATTTGGTTACATTGAGTTTGCTGACTTCCAGGGTCCTAAACATGTACTCGAAAAGTCTGGCTCGGTGAACTTCCAGCATGCTCCCTCATGTACCCTGGGCTAAGTTCCCGTTTACTTAGAATCTGGCAAGCCGCGTTATTCATGTGAGAGTCGCTGAGCCTCGTATGTCCTCTTACGTCATCTCAGCTTCCAGACGAATTCATGTTAACATGAATGTAGCGAAGAAAGCTTTTGTGGAAGCTACGGTGGCTTTGACGATGAGAAATTTGCCTGGAACTAGAGGTGTGAGAAGCCCTTGCCTGACCCTTTCTCCTGTCATAAACACCCCCCCGGCGCAGGCGCTATGACGACCCTCAGGCCGCGAGCTGCCTCCACCCTCTGTCTCTGGCACCGGCTCCAACTGGCGAGCCTCTTCCCGCCGCCCACTCCAGTCGTCTATTGCATCCTCTTTCGAGTGTGAGGCGGGCGAGCCTAGCTTGCGGTCCACCTTCCGAGAAGGTCCTATCTTCTCCACCGATACTAAAGACAGGTGGGCCTTCAGCGGCAAATACAAGCCGAGCGTGTCGGAGGGTCCTGGCAGTCGGTTCAGCAGCATGCGTGGCTGCGGTGACATGGAACTATCGTGGAACGTGCCCAATCCGCCGAAGAGGACAACGGCGCAGGCCCCACACGATTGCGTGCGTATATTCTCACATGTGCTCTCAGTTCGTGGGCACTGAGTTCCTTTCGTCACGGTATGTAGCAAGCAACTCTACACCTTCAACTCCTCAGATGGGGCGGTGGAAGCTCGAGCTCTTGCCCCGATCCAGTGGCTCCTCCGCTGTCCCTTCTCCTCTCGCGTCGCCTAATTCGTCCGCAGCAGCGCCCAGTACGCACAAACTTAACCTGTTCAGTGTGGCTAAGTAAGCGGTGTTCCTGTGCTGAGCGGCGATCCTCGTTGCTAACCAGTTTCAAGGCCCGTCGACATTTCTGGAAGGGAAGCTGCCATCGAGGAACGTCTTGAAAAGGAACAAGAACAGTTCAAAGAAAGGGCGTCTCACTCGATGTCAAGAACGTCATCGCGGACGGCGTCTCAGCGCAGATGGGACCACCCGGGTACGTGACCCATGCCTTCCGCCTCTTCTGTCGCCAGCCCGGCCTCTCCCACGTCTGATACGCACAAGAGTCCAGTTATGCTTGCTGCGAATGTGCGGCCATTGTTCAGCTTTGCCAGTGCCGCCGCTGGCAAGAAAGATGCTGCTGGTGACAGTACCGCAGAGAATGGGACACATGAGGAAACAGAGAAAATCGAGGAGGTCAAGATCTGATGTGCGTGACAGAATGCTCACTGAAAGGCGTAGATTGGACTTGCCTTAAATGCTGCCAGAATGATCGACAGCTTCTGATTAGATGCAATGTACATCCCTTGCTTGTCTTGTCTTCTAGTTAATGTTGACTTCTTTGTTGTACTGGAGGGATCGAACAGCTATCCTCCTGTCTTGCATCGACGTTGTCAAATTAGCTATAGAACATCCCCTTCGACCATCAGGCACTGAATTAGAGTACCTATATGCATTCTGAAGCCCTGTGCGCGAACGAATGCTCTATATTCACTCAAAGACCACAGCTCATGCTTCTTGTCGGCTCGAAAACACGATATGTTCCTTTGCATGGCACGAATCGCACATGCCAACGATTGAAACAATCGTAACATTTCCTCCCTTCGCGATTTTCATGATACACGATAAGACAGCCTCTACATCTCACGGCTTAAGTGAGGCAGGGAACATGCCATTCTTGCTCTGCTCATCAATCTAATAGACGACCGAAAAGTAAGGGGGTGAGCGGGCACGTAAGGATACCTCACCAAAATGGCGCGATCAATCATAGGGCCGCAAGGAGAGTGGGCCCGCTGAACAGCCTACGAAATTAATATTTATATGGCCATGGAATATCGAAGTACAACATGTAAGATGATCGTCACGCAGTAAAATCTTAATCGGGGGTCAACGACTCATAATAATCCAGATCATCTATGATGTAACGTATCATCTCCTCGTCGTGCTCATATTTGATCAATTTGCGACTCTGGACGTCTTGGGGGCAATGAACGGAGCGGACATTGAGAAAAGCCGGGTACTGCGCTTCGCCTTCCTTGCCAGCCCACTCGAAATCAACTACCTTGATTATCATTGTGTCCGTGTTCACCAAGATGTTGGTATCTCGAAGGTCGCCGTGAACGAAGCCACCCTCTCGCAATATTGATAACAAAGCTTTCAGTTGCTCACGGACAATTGAAAATTTGCGACCACGAAGAGTATTGTACGCGTCGGCGATATTGACCCATGGGTCTGCGATGAGCTCCATGACAGTCATGTTCCACCTGCTTGGCAGAAGTGTCGTCCCAATGATGGATGGCACGCAATTGTGCTTAGCACACACCCTGTGCACGTCCTCAGAATATCTGTGGCTGAACTTGATCACTGTCGGCCTGTTTTCCTCCACGGTGGTACCTGTGAAGAGCAATCGGCCTTTCGTAATTGTGCCGGTATATTTGACCCGGACGACGTTCCCATTCTCGTCATGACAGGTGTCGGGGTAGGGGTAAGTGATGTCGGGTATACGACCAGAACGGTGAATATGGGGCAGTTTGGTACCATAGTAATGCACTAGGCTGTGCACTGCTTGCCTGTATGCTCCCAGCGCATGCGGAAGCCAATCCATATCTGTTTCGGAGTGGACAGATAGTGTCTGCACGAGGACATCTGAGCAGATTATCGGAGTAGGGAATGCCATGCCAAGGAAGTGAATCTGTGGCCCTAAATGTTCGTTGATTAAAACAATGCAGGCGTATGCGCAGCGAAATAACTCATCACGAATCACAACGCCCATACACGGAAGAACCGAACCAACCATGTCCTTCCAGTCAATGTTCTGGGTGAAGTTCAGGTAATACAGGCCGACCTGAAGGTCAGCTTTGGCCGCCCCGCCTTTAGATTCGCTCTTCACTTCGACGATCGTCGGCATGTATGGCCCTACTCTGAGATGGCCGTCGATCATGTAATTAGCCCAGGACACGGACACCAACGCGGCTTCAAGCGAAACTGCGAGGTACAGTTTCAGACAGTTTCTGACGTTGAGTGCGCGTGCCTTCTCATCACTGTAAATCATACACATTATGGCTTGCAAGTTCTTCGCACACTCATCGTCCGCCTGAGTCAGGACGATACTGGCATAGACATCTTCGAACTGAGCAAACACTGGGTGAATAAGAGTGATAGGAATGCTGTCCGGTCTGGGCGGTCTGCTGAGGTCGAAGGTCCGTCTTACAAAGGCTGTGCGATCGAAAGTGGGAGCATGATTGAGGTTAGAGGGCAACATGAACGGCACGGAATTCATCAGCCTAATCCTCTTGGCCATGTTTTCATCCCCAATGGAAGCTAGGTCTTGCATCTTGCGCTTCGCAACTGTTCAGAGTAGAATGAGTATCCAAATGGACAGGACACGCGTCAGCAACTTACTTCCGATTTCTTCACCTGCCGGACCGAAATCATCCAAAAAAGCTCATCAGAAACAATCATAAAGGGCAACTTAAATAAGAATCACCGCGTGGTGTGAATGGCACTGCAACGAGAATGAGATGAATTACCCCCTGCTTGTCCAGATCGCACGCCTGGCGGATAAGCTGGGTAACATCCACCAGAGGCGTGGCCTCGAGTGCAGCCGCAATATGTTCTGAAAGTTGCTCTACGGGCTTTGTGTTCAAATCAACTGGCTGCAATCCTCTGATTGTTAACAGTCTATTCATCACATGTTTCATTTCTACGTACAGCGTACATCGCCATCTCCATCATGAAAGAACGGTGATGCTTCATGTAATCACGATGCTTCTTGCAAATTGCCTTCCGAACACTGAGAAGCGAAGTGTTAGGCTTCACCAGTATCGAGTCGCATGCCGTGGAGGATGTGACGTTCGGCAGCTTGAGGAAACACGACAGTCGTTTGCTTGGTCCGTCGAACTGGGCCGACCCGCCCCTGTTCCTAGCCATGGGTGAAGAACGGAGAAGAAAGGCTCGACAGTATCAATGTTTGCAGCAAGGGCACGAGGAAAGCAAGGGCACGAGGAAGGGTGGGCGGGTGCCAATGAGGCGAGGTTCGAACGCGCTGATCATGCGCCGGATCATGACTCACGGAGCGGACGGAAAAATACTTTATCCTATCTCCGGTGAAAATCAAGAGGTTTATTCCAAAATATTCAATATTGTGAAAGGATTTTATTCTTGAACAACCCATGAAGGTAAGACCAATTTGGCCAAATCAGCCAATAAATCCTCTCTTTCCAACACTGAAGACACAATGACATCCGCAGCGTGCTCCGAATTGTGAAGCTTTTATGTATTATGTGGAATAGTCAATCCCATACAGGAGAGCCGTTCAGAGGAGATCGGAGAGCTGGAGTCTCAGCAGGCCCGTGCTTGACGCGAGAATTGTACCGCAGATTCGAACAAGAGAGCGAGGATTAGAACGAAACACGTTGTTGGGATCTTGCGAGCCGGTCCATGTTAACTTCGCTGCTTGAACGCGGGCAGAAAAAACCAGAGCACGCACACACCCCATTTCGAGATTATTTGACCGCAAGACCGTGGACCATCGTCCCACCTTTTCGGGTGACTGCCATCATTGAACAAGCCGTCAAAGCTCTCGTGGCGATTGTGCAACTTCCTTGCTGTTCCCTGAGGCATCGCATGCCCAACGTCTGCGAATAGACACTCAAGGACATAGCGTATCCGTCTTTGCCTTTAACTCAAACCACCGCGACCATTCGATAACATTATTTACGTGGCCATGAGGCACAAGCAGCCCTGTGGCGGACCGAAGCATTGTCGCTTCTTGCATACATTTCAACCATGCTTTCACAATCATAACCTTCACGCATACGGATTGAGCTATCTGCAGGACATCGGAAGGCCGAGGATAGGCAATTCCCGGCTGTAGATGGAAGCAGGTGAGAGCTGCTGAGGTGAGCACGTATGCACATCGGGATGCATGACAGCTGTTGCTGAGAGTGCTGCCCCTGTTCGGGATGATGCGAGCGCACCATAAAAGACGTGAGTCTCGCGAGCATGCGTACGTCAGTGAGTCGTGGGGAAAGAGCTGCAAAACAGATAATGGTGGCTCGTATCAGGACATACATCGTGGCATCCTGTCTTTCCGAAGTCTGTCTATGCGGTAAGCAAGATGACTCTAGTGGGTCGCTGACGCCGTTTCGCGCAATTTAACCACCTAGAGACGTGTGAATCGTCAGCAGCGCGGGTGCAGAATGGATGGCGGGTGGGTTCTATGCGGCACTAAAACAGTCAACTGGGGACTTATTCGCGTTTCAGCCTGCAAGCTGAATTGCCACACCCGTGATTGAACAGAGACGGAGAGCTGAGAAGCAGATAGTTAAATGGACAGTGATGCTGAGCATACGCCCCTGCCGCAAAATTTTGAGACCCAGATAAGGCGAGTCATGACAGGGAAATCTAGGGGCCTAGCAAAGACGGATTGTGTTATCCGAAGAGACGGAGAAGCTGCATAGACGCAGCGTGCTAGCACAGCATTCGGGTTCGAGCGTCGAGAGAGGTAATGAGTTGAATTTCACCGGACGATACGTGCTGTCACAGATTGCACGTAACACACACGTTTCTCGGTCACGCGTAATGAAGCCTTTCTCCAGCCCAGCCAACTAACCATGACGCTAGAAAATGCTCTGACACTCATTTATTGCTAACTTCGACCAAGGGCTGCGAGAACGATATTGATGAACCGAATGTAAGCTGTATTGATCAAGGTATTGATGTTCGAGCGAGTCAGGTTCGCAATACGGCACATCGAGCGTCAGATTCTATGCGGTGATCGCACAAGCACTGACCAGTGAGCGATCTTTGATCAGGCTTGTGACTAGTAGTGCGACTATTGATGTGCTCAAGGTCATCCCGAAAGGTGAGATTCGTGATGTCGGTGTCAAACTCGAGCTATCGGGACCAAGTGCGTTTCCAGACCTCATGGTGATCCTTACATAAAATGCGTACACACAATTGCTAATGCTGAGAGACGGCAATTGCACAGGTATCAGACTTTTACCTCAAATAAAGGGGCCGAGAAAGTAATCAGTAGGTAACACGATCCTTGCAGCGTACCAAGGCTAAGGTAACATCATCGCAGGGTGATCAAGCAAATTTCCCCGGACTCCCAAGTTGTGCCTTTGGGAAATCAGTGACGATGTTTGCTTGCCTTCTGCCCGCATCGGAAGCTCCCATTGATATTGCGAAGCTATTGTTACACTGTTCGGTTGTACTACTCCTTCGCTGTCAAGCTTCGCAGTCCGCTTGAAATTCTCTATGCGAAGAAGTTCAAGATACAGCGAATGCGAGTTCCAATTTTCCCGAAGAGCATGGCAGCTGCTCCTCACCTCCCCATTTTACACGCTCCAGAAGAGCTCCAATACCGCCGATGCTTGCTGAAGCGTTCCACAGCTTCTCTGCTAGATGCATGCGCCTTGATTCTTAGGGTCATTCCGATAATGTACCTCAAGTAACCGGTCGTACCTTGTATAGAGGTTATTTGTTCCATCAATTGGCACTCCGATTTACTGGTTGACGGATGCAGTCCGAATCACAATGATATATAAAGGGAACGAGACTTTGAATCGCCAGTCGTACGGGAGAGCGACATGGAGTCGCAGCTCTACATTCTCTGTGCAGCACTCGTGCTGATTGCCATCGTTATCGTTTATCCCGGTTATCTGTCCCCTAGGCATGCTCTACCTCTTCCTCCTGGCCCACCTCGCCTTCCCATCATTGGAAACGCGCATCAGGTGCCTTTCGATTTACAGGAGGAGATATTCGCTCAGTGGGCTCGGCAATACGGTGAGCAAGATTATTTCCATTATCTTCAATTGGATGCAATGCTAACATGTCTTAGGGGACGTACTTTACCTTCGCATCTTGCAGAAGGAGATCATTGTCCTCAACTCACTTCGGGCGGCACGCGATCTGTTAGAGAAGCGGGGCTTCATATACTCCGACAGACCACGCTTTGTGATGTACTGCGAGCTGTGAGTATTCGAAAGAGGCCCGCGGTACTTGTATCTCAGATGCAATCCAGTATCTATTCCTTCCACCCGAATATTTCCCTTATGTCATATGGGGACCGATGGCGCCGCCATCGCAAGTGGTATCAGAGCTCTTTTCAAGCTAGAGCGTCCCTCAACTCCTTTCAGCCCCTGCAAGCACGGGAGGCCAAGGTTTTACTCCAAAGTATGCTCAAAACGCCAGAGGAGTTCATTGCCCATATCCACCGGTACGATGCAATGCGATGTTATGTTCACGAAATATGATCTTATTAATGCCAGTCGTCTGCAGATTTGCTGGTGCTGTGCTGCTCGAGATAGCCTATGGCTACCTCGACGAAGCCTACGTCGATATGGCAGCAGAAGTGAGCGCAGGCATCTTTGAGACTGGCGGGGCAGGTTCCACCACAGTGGATTTCTTCCCGATCCGTAAGCATAACTTCCCTGACAGCGTAGCATGTTCAAACTATTCTCGATAGTCAAATATCTACCGACGTGGATGCCGGGCGCAGGCTTCAAGCGCAACGCTTTAAAGATTCAGGCCATGGGTGAGCATGTGAGGAACGTCGCCTTCTCGAAGGTCAAGGAGGATATGGTGCGCAGGCAGCCGTTTTTTGGGGAGTCATATACTTCAGGCACTCAATTAGCCACACAGGCTTCGGGCACTGCCAAGCCTTCTTTCGTTAAAAACATCCTCGAAGAGATAGCTGAGCCCACAGCAGATGATGAGTTCGAACTCAAGGGTGCTGCATCGCTTCTGTACGGAGGTAAGCTCAGGTTCTGGTGAGCTGTGAACAATACTAACAATGTATATGCGCTTTTTAGGGGGCACGGATACGGTAAATCCGAAGATGTCCCTCAATAGTCAAGTTTTGATCCACAGCGCAGACAGTTACCACCATAACTGCATTCGTGCTGGCCATGGTTCGCAATCCAGAAGTTTTGGCGAAAGCGCAAGCTGAGATGGACGCTGTCGTCGGCAACACACGGCTTCCCAACTTCGGCGACCGAGCATCGCTACCATACCTAGAATGTGTCTTGAAAGAGGTTTATCGGTAATTACATCCGTTTACTCTAGTAGCGAACAGCGATGACTCAGGCGTGCATCAGGTGGAGTGCCGCTGTACCCCTATGTGAGTCTAATAAGGTCTGATATTACTGGATGGACGGACATACTCATGCGACTCCAGCGCTCCCTCACCGGCTTATGGAAGATGATGAATACCACGGCTATCACATGCCAGGTGGCGCTATGGTTGTGCCGAACATATGGTACGTTATTCAATGACACAACTACGAGAATATATCATGTTAATGCGAACCCAGGGCTATGACACGGGATGAGGAGATGTTCCCTGATCCTGAATCCTTCCGTCCCGAGAGATTTGAGAAACCCCGCGGAGATGAGAACGACCCTGTCGACCCACGCGTGATCATTTTCGGTTTCGGACGCCGGTAAGTAATCTAGATGGAAGGTGTTTGTTACCTGATACTTATATGCCATTCTTATAGAGTCTGCCCTGGTCGTCTCCTTGCAGACGCGAGTGTCTGGTTGGCATTCGCAAGTATGCTAGCGACATTAAGTATCCACAGGGCTCACGACTCGTCCGGAAGGGAGATCATGCCACCAGCTGACTTCGTGCCAGGGGCGGTAAAGTATGTATTCGTTCTTTTGATTTCTTCGTCGAGGTCCTCTGAACAATGTTCAGGCACCCGAAGCCGTTCAAGTGTGATATCCATCCTAGAACTCCGCGTGCTGCTAACTTGATCCTCGCTGAAGCCAGATCAGCCTAAATACTCGCCTTTCTGAACTCATGTCGGTAGCTCAGTATTTCCTTAAGATGTAACACTTACTTCAGTGTGTATCATATGTAAAAGTCCGGATTTTGGTCGCCCACTTGATTCCGTCGGCAGGCAAAGTGACCTAGTTGGTCGTTTGAGCTCTGGCACGCTGTCCGACGGTATTCAGGACTCTAGATCTGAGCATAAACACACAGTGACAGTCAAGCAAAATCAATTTGCGAAAAACTCCGACCCCGGGCTATCGAGCGTGACTGATAATGTGGCACCGAGGGTGGCAATGTCGGCTTCGATGATTATCGAACGGACTATGGGGCTCAAGTGCTTGATCGTGATTCGTCAGTGTCGAGCGCTGCTGCGACGTGCTATTGCCAATTCAGAATAATACGTCCTCTAGCGAGCAACGTCTCAATCTGCGCAAGTGTTCGCTCACGTCACTGGCAGGTGATCATAGGTTCTCCGCTCTCTACTTGATTGCGGTTTCTGCCCTTCTTACTACAATAGCACGACTGATAAGTGAAAATCGGCCCAGGTGGCATCGCTTCGAGCACACACTTCCACTCAAAGCAATCGATGTTCCAAGTTGCTTACATAGCCCGCAGGTAATCTGGAGCTTAGACTCCAAGGGGAACTTCCTAGTCCTTTTCTAAAGTGCCTTCGCTTCCATCGAATTAACCAGCAGTTCTTCTTACATTCGAAGGACGAAGAATCTAATTTCTAATTCTATATCTTTCAAATTGGTCAGGCTATCCGACGTTCGTCTTACCCCAATGCTCTTACCATGTTTAAGTCACAAGTTCCTGCGGCAGGACCCTACCCGCAACAAGCCACCCATTGCACCATGATGATTCGCCGCACGAGCAGTCAGGCATGTCCAACTCTCTCACTATATATTGAAAGACAGCGGGATCTCGTCCGTCTCTATCTCCTGCGAAAGATATGGCTGCAGGTCGCGAGCAAAGTACCTGCATCGCCATCTTCTTCTGCTTAGCGCTTGTGTACTTCGGCATAACCGTCATCAATAAGCGAAAGCGCACTCTCCTACTGCCTCCGGGTCCTACACGACTTCCTCTGCTAGGGAATATACACCAGGTTCCTTTTCAATATCAGTACTATACGTTCACCCAGTGGGCTCGTGAATATGGTGCGTTCCTTGCATTATCACATCAGCCAGCTTGTATTGAAGCACAATCAGGGGAGATCGTCTACACGCGCTTCTTTCAGCAAGACGTGGTGATAGTGAATACACTACGAGTTGCACAAGAGCTGATGGAGAAGCGCGGCATCATCTACTCAGATCGGCCTCGTTTTGTCGTTCTCGCTGAGTTATAAGCCCCAAGCAAATCTGCGGATCGTACAATCTAGTTGCTCAGACATTCGCAGAGTGAGACTCTTCCACCCAAACTACGGCCTCATGCCTTATGGCGATGAATGGCGACGACAACGCAAGTGGGCACAGACAACGTTTCAAGCACGAGGTACTCTTGAGACTTATCGTCCGCTGCAGCAACGCGAAGTTCGTTCGATGCTTTCGAGCCTGATTCAAGCGCCGGAAAACTTCGCAAAGCACATCAACAGGTATGTAGACTTGCTAAGACTTGCAGCGATGCTGATCTTCACGGCACAGATACGTAGCTGGTACCTCGATGGAAGTTCTATGCGGAATAACGGCAACATCTTCGGACGGCACGTTCATCCGGATGTCGCACGAGACGATATAGGCTGCGCTAGATCTCGGCCGCGTGGGCTCTTCGTTGGCAGACTTCTTCCCAATTTGTGAGCTTTTGTTCTTTTGAAATATGTTGCGATTGATAATCGAGCTGTGCGGATTGTAGTCCAGCACATTCCCTGCTGGATGCCGGGAGCGGGATTCAAGCGCGAGGCCCTGCGACTCAGACGTGCCGTAGAAGAGGTTACGAACATGCCTTTCGAGCATGTCAAGACTGCAATGGTACGTCAACGCTCCGTGAAATTTTGATCACACTTAACACATCTGCAGTCGTCTGGCACTGCTAAGACTTCATTCGTACGGCGGATCCTAGAGGAGACTTCTGAGCTAGCAACGAACGCCGAGGACGAGCGCAGAATCAAAGCTAGTGCCGCCATGATGCACGCAGGTAAGAGTAGTCATCACACCAAGTTATGAGAATAACATCGTCCGCCTCCAGCTGGTATGAATACGGTGAGCTGCTAGTAATTGGTACACGGATATAGTGATCATGAGTTGGCAGATGCCTGCTGTCATGATTTCATTCATCTTAGCGATGGTCGTGCACCCAGATGTGTATCGGAAAGCTCAGGTAGAAATGGACGCCGTCGTCGGACGCTCGCGGTTGCCGAATTTGGACGATAGGCTCGCGCTGCCCTACTTGGAGTGTGTTCTGAAAGAAGTGTATCGGTATGTTCCCCCGCCTGCTCGGTTTGCCAGTCCTGAACTTATCTTAAATGCAGATGGTGTTGCCCCGTGCCTCTCGGTAAGTCAAAGCATTCGTCACCCGGTTCAGGTCCTCGACTCCGAGACCTCAGGCGCGCCGCATGCGATCTTGATAGATGACCAATACCACAATTATCTCATACCTGGGAAATCTACAGTTATCCCAAACATCTGGTAGGAGTTTTCACACCAATAAATGTGTTTATGCCTTCATGATCCTATAGGGCTATGTCGCGAGATCCAGAGATCTATACTGAAGCTGATGTTTTCGACCCTGATCGCTTCTCTCATAGTCTCCCAGACACAGATGATTTGACCGATCCGCGCAAATATATATTCGGTCTCGGACGAAGGTATGAATCATTTGTGGGTCTGATGTACTTGCACTTCTTGACTGCGCGATAGGATCTGCCCTGGCCGTCTCCTTGCTGATTCGAGCTGTTGGTTAGTGGCCGCAAGTATGGTAGCCGCAACAGATATTTCAAAGGGTCGCACCTCGTCTGGAGACGAGATAGATCCCGTAGAATCGTTCGCGCCCGCAGCTATCAGGTATGATGCAGGCTGGGTGAGAGACCGCTGGTGTGCTCGTAATGCATTCAGGCGCCCCAAGCAGTTCGTGCCAGCTGTTGTCTCAAATAGATGACAGTGTGATGGACAGGAGTGCGGTATGAGTGTAGTGTGTGTGTACTGAATGATCGAAGGTACAGTTTGTCGACGTGCGTACCACTGAAAGCAAGCTTGACTGTACGCTGCACAGTCTCATTGACGCATTTGGCAGGCTCTCGTAGAGAAAACTTTGGATGAACATTGACTCAAAGGCACTGGTTGCGACTGTACTGCGTGGCCTACAGGTTGGCGCAATTATGTGAAGGCAGCAGTCTTTGTATATTTAGTACGAAGGGACTCCAGACCATAGAACGCGTGACGTCACGCGTATTTCATAAGCGTTACGCGTTCGCCGCTAATTAGCGCCCAATCGTCTTTTGAGTTATTGATGAGGCCGGACCAAGTTTATCTTGTGCCAGATTGCCTGGAGGATGACAATCTTAAAAGTCCTATGTCTCAGGCGCAGTGGCTTATTCAGAGGTGACATGGTCCGAGTCATACGCACTTCGCGGACGGTAGTCCGTCATGTGACTCCGATCGTACACTTACCGCTTACAGTATTGCTAGTGGCCGCGAATTGAAGACCGCTGAATAGTCATCAAGGCGACAAGTTCTCGAGTACTAGTGTTACAGTAAATTACGAGACTACGACAACCTCAGTCGTGGCTTACGGGCCACCAGTCCGGCCACCAAGGTGTGACAGTCCACTTCGTCTTCTCATTCTCTCCTATCTCGAACTCCAACGCGGCATCCTCCTTTTCTACGGCCGCGACGTGCTCCGAACGGAGGAGCGCGAGACCAACACCGTTGATGGAACTGTGAAGTTTCCCGGTTGTTCGAGGACGCGGCCTTGGAGTGTCGTCTGTTGGAGTAGTTGTGTGCTTCATGCGAATGTTGACACCAGGAGGGAACGACGGAAGCGGTGATGAATCGGTGAGAGTATCGGAGCTAGACGTGCAATGCGCCAAACATGAAGTGAGAATCAAGGAATGCAACTAGCCGAAATAACATACCTCCCGTTTTGTGGGTAAATTACTACAGGAAGCATTCGCTTTCTGATCTGGCCGGTATGATATGTTCGGACAGTCAACTCCTGTCCGACGTAGCATCCTTTCCTAAAGTCAACTGTAGTCTCAGGCCGTCAAATGTCTGGCATAACAAGCGGACAAGAGAAAGATCCTTACGCGCGCCCATGATATCCAAATTGGAGTCCATAGGCAGAGCATCCATGGGAGGGATATCCACTGAGCCTTCCGGTACACCGTTCAATATTCGATGTAATAGATAATCTGATGCCGTTGCGACGTCATGCGTCGACGCCTCTTGTGCTGTCAAAGTAATAGCATTCAGGCTGTTTGCTCTCGAATAACATTTGCGAAAACATACGACGGTCCCCCTTCCTGATAAGCAACCGGTGACCCATCCCTATCGCCCTTCTGTCTCGCAAAACTCCGGGTTCCGTGCCCCACGGTGGACCATCACGGGCGACGTCCCAGCTGGGCTCCACCGCACCACTGGCTGCAAAGGACCATGATCGCTCCGTCTCCCAGCTTTTCTCCCGCTCCGATCCCCATGCCGCCCAAACGTCGTACTCGTGAGACACGTCGCGCAACTTTACCTTCGCACGCAGCACATACCGCTTGAGCATGGACAGCATTGGTGGCGCCTCGGGCGATCCGGCATCGTACTCGATGATGTAACCCCGCGTGCCCTTGGGACTTGGAGTAGCGTAGCAAAACGCATCATACAGGACTCTGCCCTTCAGATTGAGACGTTTGCGCAGTGAGACGGGCGAAAGCCAGTGCATTGACTTGCCTGTGCGTTCAGGAATGCCGTGTAGAAGTGACTTTGAGGCTGTTCTGGGACGGAGCTGGCGACGATGCCATGCAGGAACTCTGCCGCCTGGGAACCTGTTACGGAGAGCAGCTGTCTGTTTGGCACGGGCGCAACCGTTGGTGCATTGCGCACGAGAGTTCGGACGCTGGAAGGTAGTGGCATGAGAAAGGATCACTTGTCGATCTCCCCTCCACGCGGGGAAGCTATAGCTAGAGATCAGCGACCTGACCGATCGCCCGGCGGCACACCCTGTTCCGTTCCTCCATGTCCTCGTCGTGCAAACATCTGATCTCCGCATTCCACGAGTGCATTTTGTACTCGGACTGTGTCGTCAAACAAGGACACCTGCCTTCAGAATGTGTCCGAGACCATAGGGACGAGTTGCCGGAGAAGTGCCAGGCGCTGCGGCTAGCCACTTTCGAGTGCAAGAGGGGGATGGTATGTGCTCGTTCCAGTTTACTCGTCCCGGCTTAACACGCGCAATGTACAGTTGGACATGAGGAAGCGATTCCGTGGAAACAACGTGGGCCTTCCGCCTCAGGCTGCTGGCAAGCAGACTGCAGCACAGGCTTCGGAAAGCTAGAAGGCGCCGTCTATCCTAGCACTAGTGTTGTCCGCACGGAGTTCGAGCATTCTTTTATTGGGCTACTTTCGCTGGCATGATATTGGGCATGTTGTCGAATTTCCCTTGGGTCATTCACAGGGAAAGGGGGCCGTGCAGGTACGTGACAATGCGTCCTTGCTTCATCGTCCGGCCACGACCTAAACAGGCCGCAGGAACATGGACAGTTTTGTTCTCGCGGAGAACGGAGAGACGGAGTATACGACGATAAGGCAGCGTGCTGCGCCTTGACATGTTCAGTGGTAGAGAACACCCTGAAGTCAGGATACTCCCGTTGATGGCGTGCACCTCAGTGAATGTCTTTCTCGACGCGCTCCTCGGTTGAATAAATAAGAGCTCCGTCGTCCTTTCGATTGCCGCTGTCTCCAACTAGCAAATTATCCTGTCGCTCATCATCCGCTGCATGCAAACGTTATTCTCATGGATTCGTTGCCTCTTCCATAGTCACAGTGGCGAAAACATATTCCCCGTCATGACTAACTGAAGTATGAATCCTCCCAACGGTAGCATTCTGTTTCACCGGGTTGTATTCCAGAAAAGGTTTTCGACACTCTCCCTCTTGCAAGCCATGAAAGGTGAATTCTTTCCACGTCGGATGAGCGAGAGGATATAGAGCTTTATATGCGGCCTCCTTCACACTCCACCTAATGACAACGTTATCACTCGTCAGAATGATGTGCGACGGTGTGAATTACCGAACTGCGAGAAAGCGAGTGCGTCGTGAATTGTCGGCCTCCGGCATGGTATTCCATATGCTCAACTCGTGGTCACTGAGTATACGCGACGCGAGGCGGTCTGCACCGCGCCGCTGGATGAGAGAAGCGATCCGTGGTAGGTGCAGAACATCAACCCCTGTGCCCATTATACCCATCAGCTGGCATTCGAGTTGATTTCAGCAAAACGCTGGAGTGAAAAAGAGTTGAAACCGTTCGGGAAAGAATAACGGTGCGCTCTGCAAGATGCGACGATCGTATACTGCTATAGCACGTGGGCGAGGCGGATCGCGATCCACTGCACGCTTCTTCCTTTTCGCCATCACCCTTGAGTTGCAGGCCACAAAGTCATCGACCTGCCAGACAGCAGAAACAAACCAGTTCTTCTGGGAACGCTGATGGAGTCACAGGTGACCGTAGACTATGTGGCAGCATCCATCAATAGACAGTCCAACGCGGCGGATGTGTCCAGTTCTTCCTTGGTAGCGTTCGGCTCATATCAGTTGGTAGCATTGTGGAATGCCGAGGTGATTTAGATTTCCCAGTAAATGAAAGTTGTTGGCTTCTGACAATCTGCAGGACGGATTCGACCGAGGGGTACACGAGACGCTTCCCGGTCATGAAGGGCTTGTGACTTGCGTGCGTTTCTTCGACGACCAACACTTCGTCAGCGCGGATGACCAGGGTGTCGTGAGATCATGGAGGAGGGACGGGACACAGGCACGCACGCCTCATGTACATCTTGCGATCCTCAATAACACGCTGCTTTCTAGTGGAACGAGTCATGTGTGCACCAGGCTCACCAAAAGGCCATCTCTGCTCTAGCACTGTATGGCGATCTCATGGTGACTGGAGCCTCTGATTCTCTGGTGAAGGTGTGGAGGGTTCAGCGAAACGACCAGTCAGGTACGCTGAAATTCTTGCGTTGGCCGCACAGATCGCTTACTCCTGCTGTTCTCAGATGTCTTCCAAGAGGTTCAAATGATCACTCTACGAGGTAGATATGCATTGTCGCTAGCGCTCTCCATGCTCCCGGGTACTCAAGGTAGCCTCTCTAGTACCTAAGCAGTGACTCGAATACTCACGCAGTCCAACTGCACCAGCAATGATTCTTGCCATCGGCAGTACATCTCGCGACGTTCAGATATGGACTTGTTCAGAGGACAACGTAAATCTCCATGCTTCCTCGGACCTTGTGCTATTTCTTAATTATCCCATTGACAGTTCGTATTCTCGGCAACCCTATCAGGACACGAGGACTGGGTACGGAGTCTTGCTTTCCAACAATCCCAGCAGAACAGCAGCACTTTAGTCTTAGCGTCGGGATCTCAGGACGCCACCATCCGTCTATGGAACGTTGAACCTTTCCAAGCAAAGGCCTCTGCATCGTCGAGCATTTCAGATGTCGCGACGAGCGACGAGCTCCTTGACGCATTCGAGGCGTCACTGGCAGAACTTACGGACGCGGAGGAAGGTGGCCGGCAGATTTCCCTCAAGCGCCACATCTTGACAGTCAAAGCTGGTCAGAGCAGGTAAATCACTACCGACGGCTTTCGCTTCATATCATAGCCTGAATTACCAAGTACCCAGTACGCAGCAATTCTCTGTCGCTTTCGACGCGCTCTTGGTCGGCCACGAGGCCGGAGTCACATCCCTCTCATGGCGTCCTCCCACGTCCACGATCTCCGTCCCCACCCTGCTATCATCCTCCACGGACTCTTCCCTCATCCTCTGGTCTCCGTCGACCATCATCACCTCGCTAAAAGACGGCGCCACGTCCATCTGGATCAACCGCCAGCGGTTCGGCGACGTCGGCGGGCAACGGTTGGGCGGTTTCGTTGGCGGCTTGTGGGCGCGCGGGGGTATGGAGGCGTGTGCTTGGGGGTGGAACGGAGGCTGGAGGCGCTGGCGGTGTACTGTTGGTGATGCGGCTGCTCCGCAGAACTTGCAGATGGAAAATTGGACTGAGGTGGGGGCCATCACGGGACATAGCGCTCCTGTGAAAGGCCTGTCCTGGAGCCCGAATGGAGAGTATCTTCTCTCCGCCAGGTATGTACCATAACGGTTGATGTTTCGTGGATGGCAGCTGATATCATGGTAGCTTGGACCAGACTACCCGCATACACGGAGGCATCCCCACAACTGGGCCAGATGGAACTTCGACTACGGTATGGCACGAGATCGGTCGTCCACAGGTCCATGGATACGACCTCGTTGGAGTATCGTCCCTGGATCCATTACAATTCGTCAGTATTGCAGATGAGAAAGTCGCTCGGGTGTTCGAGGCTCCTCGTGAATTCATCGAGGTCGTGAATAACCTCGGAGTCGCAAAGCTGGATACATCTGAGGTACAATCACGCAGTGCTCTCCCGAGAAATGTGCTCATGCGATGTTGCAGGAAGAACGACCTCGGGCGGCCACCGTGCCTCCTCTTGGGTTGTCTAACAAGGCTGTCAGCGAAGGCACGTCCATCACATTCATCAAAGGATATAAGGTGCTGAGGTTGGCTTCAGTTGTCGCAGATACGATGGGCGGTGATGGCTCATATGATCTCCTTCGGAGGAGACGCCGTCCATTCGAAGGTGAACTCGCCGCAATCACCCTCTGGCCCGAGATCGAGAAGATCTTCGGCCACGGGTACGAAGTGAGTGATTGATGCTGCCACTCAATTAACTGTCACCGATTGTGTGTGTGGCAGTCCATCAGTCTAGCCGCTTCAACATCAAAGAAACTCATCGCAACCGCATGCAAGGCAACAAGCCTTGAACACGCAGTCGTGCGTATTTACGACACGGAGAGATTCCAGCCTGTCGGAGAACCTCTTGCGGGCCATACGTTGACCGTCACAGCGATCGCCTTTAGTCCCGATGACCGTTATGTCTTGTCCGTATCCCGAGATCGTTCGTGGCGTCTTTTTGAACGAGATGGACAAGGCCAGTCGTATCCGCGTGTGACTGCTTGCGAGGAGCTCATCCGGAACTTGTATCAGATGGCTATGTCTCCTTAGCTGCGGATAGGACGCACGCTCGAATAATATGGGACTGTGCATGGGCACCTGAAGGCGACATTTTCGCAACGGCATCTCGAGATAAGACTGTAAGAGATACGTCGTATGCACACCGTACTGAACTGATGTGGGTGAAACAGGTCAAAATATGGCGACAACAGGATGGAAGCTCGACGAAATGGACGGCAATTGCGACATTAAAAACCATCGAGGCCGCCACAGCGGTGACCTTCATACCTCCAGGAAGCGATGTGAAGTGAGTTCATGGCAGTATCGCTGGGTCATCAGTCTTAACGATGTTCAGGCGTGTCATGGCTGTCGGACTGGAATCCGGCGAAATACTGCTCTATTCCTGCATAGATGCAGACGGTGCACGATGGACGCTGGATCTCACCATACCTCGACGGTGAGCAGATTCTTCAGATCCACCTAAAGTGACGCTGATACCCAAGGCAGGATTGCCCACATCGACCACATACATCACTTGTCGTGCCGTCCGTCAGATGATCCCACAACGATACAACTAGCGAGCTGCAGTGAAGATAATACATTGAAGATACTGAGCGTCCGTATTGCGAGATCGAAATGAAGATCCATCCACAATACGCGAAACCGACCGAAAGCTGTGCAGTATACAGTGTAAGACAACTGGGTATAGACCCAAGAACTAGCTAGTAACGAGACAATCTGGCTAGTCGTGTGGTAGTAGCAAAGGATATGACACAGTAGAATGCGCATTGCGTATTGGCACATAAATAGCAAGCAAGCAGCATGGATGACTAGATAGCTTGAGTCGGGGAAAGCGGTGATAGGGATACAACAAACAGTGGTAGAGGTCAATTAGACGATGTCGCGCAAACTCATGGGGACTTCCGGCTGTCACGACATCAGCGAAGGGTCTTACGGAATAGCAAGCATACTTACGCATTTAATCCTAGAATCAAATAAGTATTGTTCATTCTTCATCACATGAATATGGATACTCACTTATAGAAGCACTCTATTGAGCGCAGCATCTCAACATCGCCGCCAGTAGCAGTCACAAAGTTGACAATAACGCCTGCTCGTGAATAAGTAGGAGCAATTGCAGGAGCCACGCTGTAAAGGACATGAATGAGAATGGGACGCCCAGCTCGATGATAACCACCTACCGATGGGCATATTCTTCAACAGCTTTTGGTAAATCTGATATGACACGCTGTCAAGAGTGAACTGAGAACTGGCCTAAATCTAGGCTTACCGTAGTTTATAATCAAAGGTATCTGCGAAACTTCCGGTGTCTTGACTTGCACGTCGTACACTATCAGGACCTTCGTTGGCTGTCGCATGATGCCAGAGGCGGGACTGCGGAACTTGTTCAGGGCGGCTAACTTTGCACCAGCATTCATGTCTCCGTGCTATCTGTATGGTGAGAACCTACGCGCGCAAATTAAGACATAATACCCACAAGAGGAACTGCTTCGAGGCCGCGGCTGGCAAGCTTGTAGACTACTGAGTCCAACGCCTTCATTCCTCCCACGTGAACAATGGCATGAGGAACATCCAAGTCATCGAACAGATCCGCAAGAGCATCTAATTTCCATTCCCGAGCCTGCGCTGTTTCCGCGCTTGAAGCTCCGCGGCCAGAACCGATAATCCCTAACCCTCCTGAAGGCAGAGGCGCATCGGACCGGCCACCAGCAGTGAAAGCTAGGTACAAGTAGAACTGCCGCAGACCACGAGCACCTTGGCTCGTGTCAGCGTGCGTGACGTTGCCATCACGACGCACGAGGACTCTGACAGGCTCACGCAATTGAATGGCGGAGGCAAGGTTCAAGACATCCTGAGGAACCGTATTAGAGAAAAGAGCGGTCTGACGTTCTATCGTCTGCGATACACCGTTTGAGAAATCGATGGGAGGCGAGGATCGGAGATTAACCGCTGAGAACCTGCGAGCAACATTTTGGAGAGGCGTAGCCAACGACGAGGATCCACCCGCATCGAGTCCTGGAAAACCGGGCTGTGAGGAACCAGGCGTCCCTGCAGGCGTGCCAGGCGCAGTTGGATGAGAGCGAGGTGGGGGGAGCAGCTTGATGATGTTGAATACGTATTCATGAAGGTTGCGCGCGATCAGCTGATCTACTTCGTCCAAGACAAGGAAGCGGACTTCCGAGCCCAGCAGCCCACCAGGAGAGGTAAACAGAGCATGCAGCTTTTGTGGCGTCCCGCATATAATGTGTGGCATATTCTGCTGAAGTAGGCGCAGCTCCTGAGACAAGTCGCTGCTACCAGAAGTAGAGCCAACGCCCAGAGCAGACCTGATGCCTATAGGCCCTCCGATGTCACGAATCATCCGCTGAGCTTGAGTAGCCTGATCAACGGTAGTAGAGATCATGACCACCAAGGGGCCACGAATAGGCGTCCTGGGCGCGGAATTCACCAGTGCGATGTGAATAGCTGGAATTACATAGGCTGCGATACGCTCTTGGGTTGGTGGCGCCTGTGCGATAATGTCGGATCCCCGCAGCAGGAAGGGCAATGCGCGCTGCTGAATCTTATTCGGCGGTCCCACACTGCAGACGAGTCAGTACCAGCGACAGTCTTGCAGCGTCTCACATACCCAAATGTATTTAGCGATTGTAACAAATCCGACGCAAGAGCGAGCTGTTCCCATTTCGTGATGACAGGTCCATTCTCTCTGGATGATGCGCCCAGGCTACCCGAAAAACTTTCGCCCTGATGCGCCCCAAAATTAATTGACAGTCAATAGGTCATTCACACTTCTAATAACTCACGATAGTGCTTTCACGACGCAATAGTCCAGACACTGAACGGCGCTTGTCCCGAAACATGGAATCTTGGCGACTGAGGACACTTGGCGGCGATTCAGTTGTCCTCAAAGGGATATCCAGGTGACTGGCCGACCAAGTGCGCATCGGTGGGTTCGGGATGCGCTGATTTGTTCTCATATCTAAACGATTGGCGAGACTGTGGCCCAGACTCGAGCCTGGAGTCAGCAAGGGAGGAGTCATCATCGAGGTGGGGTTCAAGTCGGGCGGAATGCCTCCGCCAAGCGAAGGAGCATTCTGTAGACCAGAGTGCGACACCTGCATCTGTTGTGTCTGAAGCGCTAACAGCTGTCCGACAGAGGATGTAAGGGTATTGAGCCTATTGGAGATCTGGCTGATGTCGTCAAATGGCGCCACCTGATGAGGCGCGATTCCCGCACTCATGGACGCACGCGGTCCATTGGAGGATGAGAATAGCGTCTGCGGAGGAGCAGAAGCAGGAGCGAAGGGATCCTTGAACTCTGGCGGGGCATTTGCATTGACTGTACGGTCCACGAGTAGATCCACCTTGCGGTTCACATCAGAGAGCTCCCGCTGTACCTCACGCGTCGCATACTCGCAACGCGCGAGCCGGTCTAGTATATCATGAATGAATGGAGAAGCCTTGAGTTGAGCATCGAAGCTGGTCGAGAGATCCGTACTGGATGCGAAATGACTGCCGGAGTCAAGCGAAGAAGCCGGTGACGACGAGAGGAAGGAAGCATGAATCAAGGATGACCTAGCATTGGCCGTGCCACTTTCCAACATGGCGGACTGCGTGTTAAGAAGTTCCCGACTGCGTCCGAAGATGGTTCCCAACGCCGAGGTAGTGTTAGACGCCAGCTGGCCATTATATGATGGACCAGGAGTGTCGTCGGGTTCTGTTACTTCTGACAAACTCCTTGAGAGTGGCCTCTCGTTCGAGAACGTCTTGTCCATGTCGGGTGGCGCGCCAGCAGGCGAGCGGCGTTGGAGATCTTCGCGCGATGGGTTGAATTGCATCCTGGTTTCCGGCCCCCGGTCGCGGTCATCCTGAGCCTGAGGACTGGGAGAAGACCTGACGGAGCGATGGTCTGTCGGCGACAGCGAGAGGGAGAAGGTCGATGTGCTGAACTGTTGATCTCTGTTCGTTGGCATCCTGAATCCGAGTCCAGAACCTCTCCCGTTCTCCTCGTTCACGCGCATTCCCCCAGGAAAAAACGGTGTCGAGGCGGGGTTGAGACCAGGGCTCCTAGCTATCGGGTCCATGGTTGTGTCCTTGCAGCTTGCAACGATCAGACAACTGCGAAGGGCGGTGTGTGAATTGCCACACGGAGACATATCGATGCTAGCTGCATGAGTACTGACCTGCAATATTCGAGTCAACTACTAAACTGAATCCATGCAACTGAGTAAAGAGATAGACGGATGGGAGACGAAGAGTGTCGCCGAATCAGCTCAGATTGAGCTGGTCGGGTGGAGTGGACGAACCAAAGTCGCCAGCTGTAACAAGTCGCGCCTGATCGCACGCACTGATCGGCAGTCGCGCAGCTTACGAAGCGGATGCATCTCCTTTCATGTAAACTTGTTTGTACTGGATTCTGCAAATACATACAACGACAGCAACGACATTATAGGACGATAATAATATGTTCAGCAACAAGAGCAGGGCAGGCAAGCACTAGGACGGTCCAGGAAAACAGCAACAACACGCAATGGCTACATGATAGTCCGAGCAAAGGAGATGACGTCCCATGCCTTCTGTCTAGTTAATTCGCTCGTCCGAGGTGCTTCTATATCCTTAGAAGGACCAGGTAGCGGTCGGCCAGGTCCAGTGGTCACAGGTGGATGCTCGGAAGTCTCTGGTGGAGGAACACCAAGATCCACCACAGCGGTCCTCTCAACCGTTAGACGTCTGCAACACAGCACTTCAACACAGGATTCGACAGAGCAAACGGCTCACTTACTTTACCGTCCCGACGACCTTGCCCACCGTCTTTGAGACACCCAGTCCGAATATATCGCGTGGCGGCGCTTTGCTTGCTATGCGTTCCTCCAGGATTTTCTGCGTCTCAGGCAAATCGTCAATGCTAAGGGAGACCTACACAATCGAGTTCAGACATTAACGAACTATACCGTCAAAAACAAACGCCACTGACCGTCATCTTGACCTTGGTCCCGGGAATTATCTGTCCATTGGCACACAGCGCCCGTCTGGCCGCCGTAATATCACGGAATTCGACTGATGCATACTGTTGATCAGCTGCACTGGATACATTCGGGAGGGGTACAGCGCTTGGGACACCCGCGCTTGCGCGAATTTGTATGCGATAAACCTCGCCGTATGGCTCGAAAACTGTCTTTAGCATCTCTTCACTGACAGAAGAATTGAGCTGCAGCGATACCAAAGAGTAAAATCATGTATGTTCGATTACGAGAGAAAGTACGCACGTTCCCAACGAATATATACGACCATTCGTGTCTTCTGAGCCATTGATGTTTCGGCACTTCTCTGACTTGAGACTTCTTCTTCTTGGACATCTCCAGCTTGTGTTTCTTGCCGATGCCCATGGCGGCAGATGCTCTCTGTTTCCCCTTCCCCTTGTCCTGGGTTCGTTTAGCCCCTGGACTATAGTCTACGCCAAGAGTCATATTGGCTAGCTGCTGCTGAGTGGCGTGAAGATAATCCTCTGCACAATAGATGAAATGACTTGCCCGTGAAACAGGGTCAGCCCGGTCGATTGCGGGAGGGCTGGGGGCCTTATTATAGCGAACCATGGTCGTCTGAAGCGGATGGTTCTTTGCGGGGGAGTGACGTGGTTCTTGACAGTGATTCGACGTGCTGGGTGCAGGAGTGCGCGAGCGGAGAATTGAACGTGGTGCAAAGTTTATATGAGTGTGTAACGTAGATGCGACCCATGGTGGTGGCCAGTCGTTTAGCAAGTGGCCTGCTATTTACGTCCGGGCCAGTCGCCACGATTGATGAGACTTGCCACATCAGGGATCCTCAGACGTCCCAGTCAATCTCCGCTCGCTTTATGCCGCGGCACGTGCCTCCGCGGCAAGTTTGCATCCGTCCTCGCGGTCGCGGTCCGATCAACTGTGCGCTCGACGCCATGGACACCCCCAAGGTCTATCGCGCCGTCGTGCGAGAGGTCTACAAAGCCGTCCGTCGTCATTCACATCTGATGGACTCCAATTCATTATTGACATCGCATAGTCCATCTCATCACGCGTAACGAGATCAAAGACAATTCCTGCGAATTTCCGTGCCGTCTTCGAGCAGCAAAATAAAGGTGGCCAAACTCAACATTTCCACCATGACATGCAAAATGCCGTGACATTTTTGCAATCACAGAGAATGTACAAGGTCAGCACTGTTGGTCGTGAAACTTACTCGGCCATGAAATCTGATGTAGAACTGATCAGACACTTCTCGACCGCTATAACCCGTTGCATGACTTGACAACCGAGGAAAGAGTCAAAGCCACTGCCCGTCGTGTAGGATTGGACATGCCGGCTCGTGCACCGGACGATCAAGACAATTGAAGGTGGCCGTAGTGGCCTCGGGGTCGTTGCCAGCATGTCATGCCAAGGAGCTCCACCGTCCCAAATTCGCTGTCCTGCCATCTGCGGCTGCTTGCGAGGCCGTCTCAACCCGCTGGTGATGGTGCGTCACGGCGGAGATTCAATCAGCTTGACGAAAGAGACAGCACGATGGCACTGCAGCTTGTCCAACAATGTGTATGGAGAGCAATGGACGTTCAGCGAAAGCATTGATCGTGTAGCAGTGGCTCTAGAAGTACAGTCAAGAAGTAGTACGGCAGTATCAACACCTAGAAATAGGCCCTTTTCACATATGTGTCCGGTATCATGGGCCACAAGCTGATATTGAAGAGCTCATTCTGGTGGGGCTGGTGGGGCCTCCCTGTGTTGACAAAACATATCAGCCTAAACCCGGGCCCAATGAAAGACAGATACTTATAATGTACAAGACATTGTTACACCTAACGATCAGAAGTGAGCTCAAAGCACAGCCCCGCGAGACGATTTTGCTCACCGGATGAATACCTCGCCCAGTGCGCCGTTCGACTTGCCGTCCTGGAACTCCTCTGTGTTGGCGAGCTGCCGATCGTGGGTAGCAGCCATGAGATGAGAAAAGCGACCTGGAAAAGAGTAGAATAGCACGTACCTGCAGGTTCATGTACCCATCCGTGCTCACGAGGAAGCCCTTGTACTCGAGCCCCCACTTCAGCTTCACGTAGACAGGCTTGCCCGTGAGCTCCTGGATGAACGGCTTAGGGTTGACGGGGTTTACCTGCGCAATACATAGAACATCAGCGAGGAAGACGGATTCGGGCAGCAGCGTACGCACGGCCGACATGGTTGTGATCAAGGAGACACGTGCGGACTTCGAAATGGCACTGAAGACGGCTGTCAGATATAAAGACCCTCTTCGCGCGGGGGCTCGCCCTCCGTTTCGCGCTCTCCCTCTGATTCCTCACCGCTGCTCTCTCCTGACGTGAATCTAGCTCCATTATCTATGAACAATATGTCGGACCGCGAGACTGGAGGCGTACCGGGCTCTGATGAGGATTTATCGCTCCCGAAAGCCACTGTCGCCAAAATGATCACGGGTACGCGGATCGCTTTAGCCTTACGCGCTGTTCGCTCACATATAAGCAGAGCTACTGCCTAAGGACGTGACATGCGCGAAGGAGACGCGAGACCTAGTTATTGAATGCTGCGTAGGTGAAGTACTACGTGTTTTGTTCGCCGGCGTTCATTGCCATTTTGACCCATATTCACTGCACCATAGAATTCATACACCTGATATCCTCGGAGGCGAATGAAATATGCGAGAAGGACTCTAAGAAGACGATAGCACCGGAGCATATCATCGCTGCTCTGAAAGTGCGTATCCGTTTCCGTCCGTCTCGCATTGATGCGCTCAAATTCTCCTTAGCATCTCGGCTTCGAGTCTTTCACTGAGGAGGTCGAAGACGTCCTGAAAGATCATAAGCAGCAACAGAAGGTTTGTGATTGTCCACTATCTTCTTGTAATGCCCCTCACTGAGCGCGGGTCCTCAGGATCGCGAGAGAAAGGTATCCAAGTTTGAGCAGTCTGGCATGACCGAGGAAGAGCTTCTCAAGGCACAAGAAGAGCTTTTTGCGCAGAGTCGAGCGAAGTTCCAATCAACGCAGCAATGACCTCTCTCACCGTCTCACTCTGACCTGGTTCTCGCGAGGGACATTGGACCAGCTACTGTATACCATGTACGACTACGCTAGCTGCATGCATACATGTATCGCCTGTTGTAATATTCTGAGTTATTAATTTCTATGTAGCCCTTCGCGATCGATTCGCTAGTTTTTCCAACCGTCTGGTAGGTGTGTCTCCGTTCCAGAGCTCGACTGTGCGTCCGTTATCGTCCGTGATTTTCCTGAGTTGGGGAAGGCCTTCTTGCTCTATGATGAACGAGGCAGAAACTGTGCCGTACAACGCAGCTGGCGAAGGAGTCCCGCTTTGTATATGCGCATATAATGGACGATCTTGACGTACCTCTGTAGACATCTCCATCTGCCAAGTGCAGGCCGGCCGCCAGTCCTCCCAAGAAAGCGTTACCAGCACCTGCATGACATGAGAAACATTCTTAAGTGTATGCAATGCATCACGATGCACCTGTCACATCGACGATATGCCGTTGAGCGTCGTCCTCGGTCCAGAAGGCAGGAACCCACTGTCCTTTTCTCTCCCTTGTAGCCACATATGCGCCCAAAGCGCCACTACGAATGACCACGCATCCGCGGCCCTCCCTACTCACCCCGAATTCGAGCAGATGCTTGCATGCTTCCTCTACCAGGGACTTTGTTGGCGTCCCCGGCATGGATAGAAGGGACATCGCCTCCTCTGCGTTCGGGCTGCATTTCATAGTCTGTTAACGGACGATGGACTTGACACACGGTGCATGCAAAGTTTACGCACCTGAGAACAGATATAGCTGGGAGCACCTCGAGGAGGGCGGTTAACTCCTCTGGGACACATCTGTCCTTGCTTTGCAAGGAGCATCATGATATCAGCGCATGTCATTTATTATCAATGATCGGTGCGTTTACGAACGGGTATGGGCTCGTATATCGTGATTGGGTTCCATGCTGGATCTTCTCGAACTTCTGACATGATTGCTGTCGCCCTCGTAGGTGAGCATATGAAGTGCAGCATATTCGGCCGCCAAAGTTTCGTGTTGACCAAATCACGGGGTGTTAATCTGATTCGTGGAGTGGTATATTGAAAGCTATTAACATGTCGATTAGAGTTAGGTCGGTTGATGGCATCAGTATGCGAGACTCGCCCTCTATGATCTCCTCTGTACGAATTCAGTGCTCGTGTAGTGGGACGTGCGGGATTGTCACGGTACAGCCACATCGTGTCCCCATATGAATCGAGTTTCTCTTGGATGTCTGGCGGGAAGTCGTTCCCTCTATCTACGATCATGCCGACTTTCTCAGCGGGAAGCCTGCCATCGGCCGCAATCAGAGCAAGCCCTCTAGCACCCCTTATGCGCATGCTCACCATATACGTGCTCCTATCGAGGCGTATGTTCCTCCTCCACCAATCTGTACGAGCCAGAGTGGGATTAGTCTCGCAAAGGGTCTGCTACGTATCAGTCGTACCTGAGGGGGCAGAATGCGACCAGTGGGCTTATTGTCCTCATCATTGAACTCAAAGTCGTCTATTATGAACATGCCCAGAGTGACAAGCACTTTGCCATCTGTGTCGATGCTGTCGGGTCCGACCATGCGAGAGTGTGTATGGAGTTCGGTTTGAAGGCGGGCCAGCTCGCGCTGATCTGATCGAGATCCGATCGCGATTTCGCAGCTGAAGCGCTAATCACCGTTGACGCGTCGGTCAGCGCTAATCACCGTCGACGCGTCGGTTGCTCCTGGCCACAATGCAAGTGTGGGTTGTTACATTCAACGATGAGGCTGTGGCTGATTGGGAAGGGGTGAGCTCCAGTTTGTAGCTTTACTCGAATTTTGCTCAACGCTCGTCGCGCAGATCTATCAAAAAGGGCTGGAGCTTGTAGATCCAGAGTCTCGGCAGCGCCTTCAAAGATTCTATCATCGAAAGGATAGTTTTAGTGCGTACCAAGCGAACGTCCAAACTCTGAGTTCATCGAGACACCTATTCCAGGAGGCCTTGTTGGTCGTCTTCTTCCCAGGATGCTTCTGAAAGAGCGAGGGGTGCCTCCGGATCGCATGTCGTTTGGCAAGACAGCAACGGGCAAACCATACATAGCGAGTCATTCCCCTAAAACACGTTTCACGGGTGCTAAGTAGTGGTCTATTTCGACCTCTTTTCAAAAGAAAGACAACAGATCACCTTGCCGAACCCATCGGATACAGCATCACGCACGACAGTGGATTGATTGCGATGGCTTTCGCTAGCGGAAACGACCTCTATCATGACCCTCCAGCTTATCGCGTCGGTGTAGACGTGATGAAATTGAAGCCACCCAAGCACGAGACATTTCGTGCTTTCGTTGATGTTTTCAATGATCAAGTAAGTAATGATGCAATTGGTCCAGACTTGAATTAGATCAACTTTCTTCTAGCTCACATCACTAGAACGTGATATACTTCTCCCACCCACGGCATCTCCGCCCTTGTCTCAAGAGGAAGCGTTTAGGCGCTTCTACTTGATATGGACGCTCAAGGAAGCATATACCAAGGCGCTGGGGCTCGGCCTTGGGTTCGACTTCAAACGCATCGAGTATGACGTTCCTCGAGATATCGTGCGGATTGATGGTGTTGTACCTCGAGGCTGGGAGTTCATCCGCTTCCAGCTGGAGAATACGCTTGATGATGGCTGCCAAGAGAAGTATGTGGGAGCGGCAGCGAGATATATCGGAGAAGCAGTGTTGCCTGTGGAAGAATGCGTGGTTCATTTTAGAAATGCAGGATCGTGGCTGAAGGTATCGGATGCAATCGAGTTCGTCGAGCGAGCATTGCGGGAATTGCAGTAGTCAATATTCTGCTGAATCTTCTGTACTTCTTATACTGGTTATCTTATACTAAACCAGCAAGATCCAACTTCTGACCGCATTGTCGTATACATTGTTCCCGATGATGCCGCAGTGATAGGGCCCGCCGCCCAGGAAGATATCGTCCCACGTGATGCTGCCCTACGCCAGTACCGTTCAGTGCCTGAGCGGTACAGCTTTCCTGACTCTCTCTTCTTCGGTATCTGGCCGACTGTATTTCTACTCCTCCCTATCGTCCTTCACGGCTTGGGAACATGACGCGCACACGCTCTCTGCGCTCGCAAGCAGTTTCTCCGAAGCTTGACACGTCGTCGCGGCCGTCGTCTCCCACATTCTCCGAGACAACTAATGCTTCCGTTCTTGATTTTGGGCCTGATGGCCCACATAAGATTATCACTCGCGCGCACCTCAAGATGAGCATGCAGGCCTACGAAGACGTGAGTTGTGCATCTATGGTTCACGTTGGAAGCTCGCACTGACCTGTTACATCTGCGATCAAGTTGCTGAATAAATCCGCAGCTTATCGCGGCGCGCTCTTGGCTATGTCTCGAGCAACTGCCGGATTTGCAGATGCTATGGGTGTATGCGCTGGGTATGCCGCTTCTTGTATGATCGAATGCCTTCTCATTCATGTCATCTTCTCGTGCCAGTTTGAAGGGTCCGAACTACGAGTCTGGGACGCGGCTACAGGTTGCATCTGGTTTGCACCATCTAATGAGCAACCACTTTCATGTTCTTGTAAGAATTAAAGAGTTGTCGATTTCAGGATATGTCCCTTTGCTAACGCTGAGATAGGCAGAAACGCTCGACATGCAGTTCGAGAAGCCCCTGAGGCAACACTTTGAGGACTACCGCAGGGTCGTTAATGTGAGACTCTCTTACGCGTCATATACGATCGTACTCAACCGAAGCTCGACTTTCTCACAGGAACGGTCCAATGCATATGAGAAGGCACTACGTGAGAAGAGCAATCTCATAAGACAGACCGAGATGGGTAATTACCATAGAAAGGGCCGAAGTGAGTCCATCCCCAACAGTTTGACAGTATTGCTATCGGTCTGATCGCAAATCAGGTTTGCAGACATTCCGAGAAGCGTTGGCTATCCTGCAGAGACAGGTAGACGAGCTAGATGATTTGAAAGAGCAACACTATCAAGAGATCATCGAGCATGAAGAGCGAGTCTGGGACTTTGTGCAAGGAAAGGTCTGCTATGTCGTGCGTTCGACGCTGGATATATTCGATAGGTTCACTAGCAAAGCGTGAGTCACAGCTAGCATGGTGTGCTTCGTGTCCCTCAGTTCCTAACATGCGGTATTCAGTTCGGATCCCGTCATTGAACCTATGCTGCAGACGGTTCCTGACCCGTTCGATGCATACGGGCCACCGCCTTCGGAAGATCAGATCTTCACCATCCTGCCTCCCCTTTCCGTCATCGCGAATGCACCCTCCTCAACACCCAGTCCTCTTACCTCCACTGCGACTGAACTTGACAGCAGTGACGGTATCCCGTCAGCCAAAAGTTCGTGGACACCTAGCACAGGCGGCTTTTTCCCTGATACAAGTGCCGCATGGGCGGATGTGCCGATGTCGTCGCCTCCTCGCATAAGGTCGGCAACCTCTCCTGTCGCTCCCGCTCGCTCCGCCTCTCCACAAACGGTGGATGCGACTATCGCTGCTCCTCCTCCATCATCTCTGAACCGACGACACTCGCTTCCTCCTGCTTCTGGCTCACCTCCGACTATAAACCACCAGCCTCGGAGGTCAGAGTCCAAGCTACGCAGCGTTCTTTCTGTCATCGATGAAAGTCATTCGCGGCAGAATGGCGAAGCCAACAATGTGCCTGACACAGCCGACAGCCCAGAGCTGCAAGAGCGGCAATCTATATCCCCACCTGTCGATACTCCTCCTATCAACGGAAAGGAAACATCCCCGGCTCACTCTGGGCAGTGGGCCTTTTTCAGCTTCCCTAGTGCACGCCCTAGCAATGGCGATAGTGAGGCTGGTCAGCAAAATATCACCCTGTCCCAGGTGCAATCGCCGCCGATGTCACCACGGGACAGTCTGACTCCTCGCGCAGAACGCAGTCGTAGTCCACAATCAGATGACACTGCGATTCCTATCACCACATGATCTCTTGCTTCTCTTGTTTTGTATACTCTCATATTTTGCATATACATGCACATACCGGTAACTTATGGACTCCGCAACGCTTGTGTGTTACGTACTCTCCATGTACTATAACGTTACCTTGGGCATCCGCTACCTCTTCGCCTGCCTCTCGAAAATGTCTTATATATATGGTCCATATATCAATAGCATTGGGATTGATTATGCATCCAGAGTATCCACACGAAGCAGGCTACCGCGGGCGAATGCCATATTGTGCTAGCACAGATGCACTAGCGGGGGCGGGGCTCCTGAACAGCAGATCTGTACCGGCGCCAGTCTTCGGGAAAGCGATGACATCGCGGATGCTCTCCGTTTTGCATAGAATAGCCATGAGGCGGTCGAACCCTAGCATAAATGAGGCGATGCACTTCTTATAGAGGGCATGCAACGTACCGAAAGCGAATCCCCCATGAGGAGGAGCTCCACATCGCAGAGCATGCAGGAGGTGCTCAAATGAGTTGGTCTCATGATCGTCCAGCTAATCATTGAGAGAAGTCATTTCCACTTTCAAGTAGATGATTAAAAAAAGCTTACCTGCAGAATCTGTGCGAAAATGTATCCTTGCATAGCTGCATCGTGGACCCTGACCGACCCGCCGCCGATTTCTACGCCGTTCAGGACGAGATCGTAGTGCTGTCCTCGCACCTGATATAATTGCAACGACGTCAATCATTCACTATCGTCGAGAGAGACATGAATAACAGTACCTCAGCCACATCGCCACCGTACATCTTTTCGATATCTTGCCACATTGGAGCCGTGAACGGATGGTGAGAGCTACTCCACCTCCCATGGGCTAAGAACTCCTTGTCGGTGTCCGCATGAGTAAACAGCGGAAACTCGGTGACCCAGAGAAAGTGAGGATCGCACGGAAGCGTGAGATCCCCTCTACTTTGTGCGAGACTCGCTAGCTCAAGACGAACACGGCCAAGAGCAGTGGAACCTCCCTATTAATGGTCAGGCTATGCTGAGAATTACATCCGATTTGAATTGACCTCTGGTCTGCGACGGCGTCTCGTGAGCCAAACTGTCCCTCCCATGTTTAAATCAAGTGCTTCAGTTAGATGTGGGAGCTCTTGATTCTCAGTGCCCTCTTCCAACTTCGTCAAGACCTCTTGCAGTGTTTTTGACTGCTTGACCCATGTTGTATCAGCACCAGTTGGCACATCTACGGATTCCTTGGTGGACAGTCGAAGTCAGACAAGATGCGAAGGGTTGTCCTGGAGGCGCTCACCGTGCCAGTTATTCCTTTTGCATGAAGTTCTTCAACAGCTCCAAGAAATGGGACGTCAGTCGACCGCGATCTTCGCACCACAAGAGCTTCAATAATTTCTCCTGTGGAAGCCAGCAATTGACGCATGGAAAGAGGTAAATACGGAGTGATATCCTCAATCTGTTGAGCGATGATATGAGCACATGTTCTATGATGAGAAACAATGCCTCGCCTCTAATTTGAAGCGCAAATCAGGCTTGTCACTACCGTAGCGACCCATCGCCGTGTCATATGTCGTGACGTTGAACTTGGCGGGTAGCTCGACTCCCTCGACTTCCAACCAGACTCTGCGGACAAGTCTCTCGACAATATCCCGAACCTCATGTCCGCCGATTCTCCAACTGTCCGGTGAGCGGGAAAGGTCAGTCCCGTTATCCTCATCAACGCTGGTCGAGACTTTAGTATCAACTTGGTGGCCCTTCGCGTTCGTATGTTCTCCCCAGCTGACCCATGCCATCTCAAGATCAACTTGTGTGAATTCAGGCTGCCGGTCCTTTCTTCCGTCTTCATCACGGAAGCAGCGGGCGAGCTGGTAATACCGATCGATAGCCCCGGAAGCGATCAACAGCTGTTTGGGCTGCTGCGGGGATTGCGGAAGAGCGTAGAAGAGCGGCTGCGACGTGGGTTGATGCGATTCAGGTGAACCATCCTCGGCGGGGTTAGTCGTCACGCGGGTGGGTACCAGGAACTCCCTGGCGCCTTCCGGTGTAGATTTCAGCAAAACGGGGGTCTCAACCTCAGTGAAGTCTATGAGAGGTGGCGGCGATCAGATAAGCTAAATGCACGACAGACGCGATGGACACTCGACTTGCCTTGTTCATGAAGGACCGTTCTTATTATATGAGCTACTTCGCTGCGCTTCTTCAAGTTGCTGGAAAGAGCGTCTCGGCGGAGGTCGAGGTAGCGATAACGCAATCTGAGGTGTTCATTCGCCTGAGGAATGCTGAGTGAGGTTCGAGCGCGCAACAACACAGCAAAAGAGTCCTACAATTAGAGCGTGCGTACCAGATTTTGGGTGTCGTTTGGCATGAAAGGTAGGCTTCGATCAGCGGGGTTCAGTAACATGAACGATTCGACCAGAATCTCGATGTCACCACCAGGATACTGTGTTCGTACTGGTCAATCACAGAACACAACGTATTGAGATGTAACCGACAGGCCGCCGATGATCCTCCGTTCGCGCCTTAACTAATCCCTGCAGCAGCACTGTCGACTCGGTGGGTATGTCACGCATTCTTGATAGAGCTTCTCCGCATGTATTTGCAGCTACAACGAGTTGTAATGTACCGTATGGATCCCTCAAGTTGAAGAACGACAGTTCCTTATTGACTTTTCTAAACGATGGGTAGGCATTCCCGATCAAGCAATTTCTCTACTGACACGGACCTTTCTGGGAGAAGCCAGCCGGTCAACACGACCCGGCGGTCAACTTCATTAGACGATAGTGATTTACAGGTGTGAGTGCGCTTCGGAAACGGCCCTGTAAACCGGGATGAAGTATGAGAGATGAACACATATTAATAGCGACGCACTGCAGTGGGCCACATGTGCTGATACTAGCGCAATAGCATCTACGGCCGACGATGATACTTGTAAATTGCAAGAACTTGTTACGTTCCTACGCGATTGACAAGCGATCCAACGAGCACGAGCGAGGTGTCTTATCGAACAGCGACTGAGAATGTCTCGCAGCACAACTCGCATGGTCAGACTCCAGCTGTGCTGCACCGAGGACTGAGAACCTAGAAAAGCCGGACAGTACTGGTGGGCGCTTGAGTTGCGCATTTAATTGGCATTTAATGAAAAAGAGCTGTCGCGCCCCACGTGATCAATACGCGTTAACCTTCAACGCGTCGCATGTCGCTCCGAGTACTAGTGTATTGAACAGAGACAACACATGAGATTGCTATGAGCATGCACGACGCTCAAGACCGAGCATCCCGTCATCCCTGTCAGCTGCCATATATCCTGTCCATGCAAGAAATTGGGCAGTTGCCACTATATAGGAGCAGACTACTTAGCTTCATCCATTCGTTGATACGATGACGCAACCCGAGTTTGAACCCACATAACGCAGACGTCGAGTCTGGCATTCGTCCGCATGACTATAGGTATCAAGCAAGCTAGTAGCTCGCACAAAAGGGTCGGAAGCGCAAATGGCAAGGAGACCAACTAGTACACTAAATACGATGTGACAGCATACAAACAGAGCAAGCAAGATGGACAATCGTCCTTTTGAATCAATGGCCTCGACCTCTGCCTCTGTAGACTCGGATAAGCAGTGAACTGAGACAAAATACTTTGAATTCCTTACCTGCCACGAGCACGGTACGGACTGTAGCCGGAAGAGCCTCTATAACCGCCCCTGAAGCCACCACGATAGCCTCCTCTCCCACGTCCACGTCCACGCATCCAACCTGGTAGGTTAGTTCGCTTTGCTGTGACCTGAACAAAGTGTCAATTAATATGTGCCTGCTGCACCATGAGCAAGTAGCACCGACCTTGAGTAGACGGCCCTTGAAAAGAGAGTTGTCCAAGGCGAGAGCGGCGTCGATATGGTCGGCTTCTGCAAACTCTACGTACGCATATCTGCAGCAGGCGTAACGTCAGAACGAAACAAACGTGCATTGACTGTACACGAACCCCTTAGGATGACCAGTGAATTTGTCACATAGGATGGTAACTCGATTGATCACACCGCATGCTTGGAAGTGCGCCTGTATCTCTTCCGGTGTCGCGGAATAATCAACCTTAACAATAGGAATGTCAGATGGGTGACAATGCTGAGGACCATCAAAGTGCGCCACTAACATTGCCGATGTAAATGCTTCTACTGTCCGCCGCGACCTGGTCTTCGTCCATCTCCATCGGTGTGGATGTTTCCGCCTCAGTGGAGGCACGCTCTGCCTTTTCTGCAGCAGCCTGCATTTCCCGTAGCATATTGGCTTCCCTTTCCATCTCTTCCACTCGCTGCTTCATGATCATGATCTCCTACGTTGTGGAAGGGCGCTGACATTGTGAGCATTCTTCATCAGGGTACAACAATTTATGACAAACCTTAGTCTCCTCCTCTTCTCCATCATCAACAATGGGTTCCGAAGCGGGATTCGATGGTTCTGTGACTGAAACGTCGGACATGGTGAGACCTTGCTTCAGAGCCAGTAACAATTTAAGTGAAGGAAAGAGATTGAAGTAGCCGTGTGACCAATATTTACGTGTGATGTTAGATCCGTGACAAGTTCTTCCACGTGACACCGTGCACCTCTCTTTTTCGCAGCCACCGACGCGCGATGACTGGAGCGCTGCTTGAGCAGTTTGTGCAAAGAACCCTTGCTTTCTATACGGAACTATCCTCTGCTTTCGCAAATTAGAGAAAGCTTCTTCCCTTACATCGTTTGGGAAGATGAATGGAGATGGAAGCCTTCTTTGTGGTTGGCGGTGGCATGGTTTCTAGAGAAGCTCAAAAATAGTGAACATTCCCGAAATAGCTTGATGAACTTTCAAGTGATTGTGCGAATGCAACACCTAGTCTCGACAAGGTAGAGCATCTGTGTCACAGGAAAGAGGTGTTACCTTTTTTCATCAAGGCACTAGAGGATCCAATTAATCTCAATGTCGCGATTCAGATAGCATTCATCATGCCCACGGTAGATATGGCCCAGCGAGTCCTAGAGATTGCATGGATGAAAAGGGTCAAAACCTGCCATATACGTCAGTATTTTCTCCTAGCAAGTTAGCCACAGTTTATAGGCCGCGCGCATATACTGCGCGAGACCGGCCCACACGCCTTTGACGATGACGGCCACGATGACGGCCATTTCTTGGGTATCATTGAAACCCGACCGAGTCATATATACGTGTCCTTTCAGGCCGTTGTCCGTCTTGCCTTTGAGAATGGAGATGTCACCAAATCCGCGTAAGTCCCTTCCCAGTAACGAACTGGCTCATGGAGCTCACAATCATGGACAATACCATAATCGAGATGCTGCGTCTCTGCCCTGGCAGCAATATGGGCTAGCGCGGTTGACGGGGTTAGTGTTCATGAAAGCTGAACGGTATGCTGATGCGCTCTCCTTTGCTCGAGCGGGCGAACCTCCTCTACTCGAAGTGTCCACGTTCTCGTTGCCCTTGCGGGCTTCGCAAACAAAACAAGTAGATTGAAGAGCTCAAGTGTTACAGTGCGAAATTGGCATACACGAGCGCGCTAGCATCGTTCCGAATGCGGGGCGATCGCGAGCCCGCGAGGCAACACTTTGTGTGTCTGAGAGAGAGTTCACCCAAACGTGTTCCGAAATAGTTTGGCCAAAGCTGCACAGCGAAGTGAGTGTGATCGCGACGCTTGCTATCCTGCAAATTTATATGCTGTCCTCGCAGAGAAAATGAACATGATGCCTCGCACTCTCAACGGCCCGGGGCAGTGCGCACAGTTATTTGTGGCTCACCTAGGATTTAGGGACGGGACCAGACATCTAGCCACTGGCGGATAGTAATGCCGAGGCCAAGAGCTTCATTCTTAACACATGGGAAGAGTGCGCTCTGCGCGAAGCCGAGCACGTTCCTCTCATCGCGGTTTTCGTAGCACGTCGTGCTCTTTGTTCAATGAAAATTCCCAAATTCTGTCCCTGAATTACCGTTTAGAGGAAGAGATAATGCGAGCTATGACACAATGAAAGGCTCTACCAAGCATTCCCGGGGACGATCACCTTGACGCTGCAGCCGGCTTCACCTCAGAAGGCATTAGTGCAACGAGCTTCTTTCAATCAGAGGGAGTAAGTGATAGGATGATAATATCACAATTACTTGCGTTCGCCGCCTGACCAGATGTTGATTTCTTTCATTGCATGTATCTGACTGCCTGCTATGGATATATGGATCATAATATTACAAGTGTCATCATTATATCTACGTATGAATATCATTGCATTTCCGCAAACCGAAGCCAAGTCATGCGCAATACGGGGTTCATAAGGTAACGGTGCAAGCAAACAAAGCCGGGAGAGCAAGGATATAGTGCGTGGACAGCAATAGTAAGAGCTGATGGTGATGGCTATCGAGAGGTAAGAATAATTTGAAGGGGAAACGGGAAAATAAGAAGAAACACATGCGAAAGCGGACTCATACAAAGGTAGCGAATGCGCCTTGCATTAGTTAGCAGATTGATAGATAGACGAATGAAAGCCGTATCTACCTGTGGCGCCTAATAAACCCAGTGCGGAGTAGCCCAACCAAAGTTCAATTCGTTGTTTGAATGCTCTGGGTCAACATCTCCTTCCACGGGAATCGCGAGCATTCGAGGTGTCACTGGAGGGGATATCCACTCCTTCGCAGCAGCATCGCCTTTATACCAGGATGAAGCGGTGCCGGGTGTCTTAAGACGTGCCACCCAATGCATCCCTGACAGCTCGAACACAGTCAGTGCAGGCAACGAGGCCAACGTAGCGGCAATATGCGTCTGCAATGTCTGAGTGGCAATTGAACGCGATGGTGAGAGAGTTGCATTGCACAAGCATTGGTTCAGACATACCATATCAGGCGCTTCCCAGAACACACCGGTCGTCATGAGCCTCAGGTAGACTAACTTGGGAAACGCCAGCGCGACCGCCGCGAGTACTTCTGCAGGCGGCGCACTGGTGATTGCGCTGAATACTTGAACCTCCGAGTTGTGCCCGTTTTCCGAATCTCTCGGACCCAGATATGAATAGAATTTTGGTTCAGGTTCTCCCGCACTCGGAGCGCTCGCGGGCGCAGGTATATTTTCGAGTTGCAGGTCACCCGACAGGTGGATCGTGGTGAGCGGGCGAGGAGCTAGAAATGGAAGTAACGACGCTGGTCCGCTATACGATTCCAGCAGTGGCACGTGGGTGAGAGGCAGAGCTTGACCGCTTGGAAGTGCACACTCCGAGAGGTGCAACGTCCGTAGTAGAGGCGTATGTGCGAGGAAGCCGAGAAGATGCGTTTCAAGTGGAAAGGAGCACGTCAAGTGTTCTAGGCGAGGCCACTCGAAATCGAGTCCCGATACGACCCAGCTGGCATTTGAATCCACCAAGAGTTCCAGCGATTCGAGCTGCGGCATCTCCCGAAGCGCTGCGTGTAGTTGCTCATAATACGCTCGAGGAGTGTGGTTGGATTCATCGATGGTGATCGAAAATCTGCGCAATAAACGTGCCAGTTCGGGTCGATTGGCCAGCGTACAGACGATGGGTAGGTTGCGGGTATATGCCGATACAGACACCGAATGGTAAAGAACTCGAGTCGCGCTTTGATTGACAGAAGAACAGGTTAGTGCAAGGCTTGAGAGCGTGGATGGGTATGAGGAGAGTGGCTCGCAAATAGAATCCAGCAACTCGGCCGGGAGCGACGTGAGAGACATGTTGTGCGACCAGGGAATAGGAAGCTGGGTGACAGGGTATATAAGTGGGATATCAATGGCCAACAAGCGAAAGAGGAAGACCGATGATCATTAAAGAGGGTGGGACGGGCCAAATCCTGGGGAGGAACGGGTCAAACAAGATTGGCCAATAGATTCCAGCCTTGCCTGATGAGATAAACCTGCCACGGAGGTAGTCTTACAGCTGCACCTCAGAAGAAGACAACGACATGAGGAAGGCCGGGCACGACGAGGGCGGGCTCGAGGCAGAGAGACGTCCTGGGCCTCTTTATATGGACGAGAGACTCGGAGAACGCCCTCGCACAGCGCGCTGATTGACCACGTGATCGCAGGCGTTTCTATGCACAATTGCACGGTCAAGTTTCAATAAAAACGCCAGCATCCTGTACGTACGTACTGTATGGCATGTCTTTCTTGCCGCAACCCGTTGAATCATCTTATTCAGGCTCATACGGAACGTATGCCGTAACACACCGCCGCTTTGCATGGCGTCCACACTTTGTCTTCATCTGCTGTGCGCTGCTCGTGAGAGGTTGGGCATATCCATCGATTTCGACCAGTGATATCTGCTATACTGCTCTCAAGTCTGATCCACGTGGCGATGAGTGCTCGTCATCACACGCGGGCTCTGAGGCTGTGTCTTCTCCATCAGTCTGCAGGTTCATCTATCATCAAGTTCCAGAGTAATAAACGCTTGTACATCTGAATTGACTGCAGCGGACAGACTGTCCGGTTCCGCATGCCTTGGTCGACAAGCGTTGAGAAATCTCTAACATGCTTATGGTCACTCGTCGCGACTGCTCGCTCCGTAAGGTGGATCCACTCGTCCAGATGTTGTAGCTTTGAATGTATTGGCGTCAGTTGTCGGTCACAATGAAACAAACCTTGTCCGCCTACGACACTCTGCTCTAGTACTTATGAGGCGGTATGAGAGACTGGGAGATGCATGAATGCTCACGCAGAGCTTTCTGGAGCATCAACATGAGGAGAGCTAATTGGACACCGTGGCACAAGTGACTCAGTTGCGTAGGGTTGCTACACAGGAGCCCATGATAGAGATATTATCAGCATGAGAATTTGCCAATTGACTCCCTGATGTAGTTAATCGTTCAGACTCCAAGGGTTTCAGGACCATTCAACATCACATCTATGTGCGCGGAGAGAAAGATTAAAGGCGCAAGGGTGTCGGAAATGTGTTAGACTTCGCGTGTTTCGTGGCCACGACCGCGCATTTTGTTGGGATGCAACAGCGCCGTTCATAAGTCATGATCAGGATCAGAGTAGGAGCCATTCCATGGCATACAGAGAGAAAAGGCTCACCGGCACTGCGGCCATTGACCGAGCGTGTCACGTGAGGGACTGCGCGAAGCGGACATAGATCGTTCGTCGACTCGACGACAAAGCTTGAAGTGTCCAGCTTCGCCTTCGTCGTTCAGCATGTTACTCAACACTTTACGAAGATGCGCTCGAGCGCTGTCGACGGCCACCCAACCATATCCATTCTCTAGCGTCGCCAAAATCCCACCTAGTCCTGCCGTCCCGCCTCCAGCACCGCTACTGCAAGGCAAGGGCCTCATGCTCCATCTCGCGCAGACTATCCCCAGCCCAGAGAAGCGAGAAATGATGTTCAAGTACTTTTCTCGAAAGTCCCCTGAACGCCTCCTACCTGGATCAGTCTTGACCGTCGCGCTGAGCCAGGCACCAGCAACGTTCACTGGCGTCCTCATATCTGTGCGCCGGCGGTCCTTGAACATAACGTTTGTCCTCCGCAATGTAATCAATCGCACGGGCGTGGAGATGGGGTTCGATGTGGCCTCTCCTCACCTCAAGAGCATCAAGGTCCTCAAGCGGGCTGACGGTGGAGCCGGGAAGGCTGGGAGACGGACGCGCCGTGCGAAACTGCACTACCTCAGGGATTCACCTGAGAAGATGTCCGCTATCTCGGCGGGTATGCGACGGTAGGCGATGGCGTGGGCATGGTACGTGGTATACTGGTTTGATGTTCACATGTGGTGCTTACGAAGCGATTGGTGCAGCGTCGCGTTGGAGGCGTCGCGTGAGAGAAGCCGACAGGTCGGGAGAACTGCGGCACCCTCAGCATCACTAAGGGCTGAGAGGTGGAAGGAGATGCGGAACTACGGGGAAGGCTCAGCGCGTCCCGAAAACGTGTTATCTCATAGACATGACCGGTTCAGCATGCATCAGGGCAATCTGTTGTTTCAAAAGCAGATCATGTTACCGACAGGTTGCGTTATCATCGATGAGGACTGCTAACACGTTCCTATGTTCTACCCCTTCCGGAAGATCCCCCTTTCTTCTGAATACGTACAGCACGCGCCACCTTTTTCATAGCAGCTAACTATATCCTGCTGGGCCACCTGAGGGTGTAAGCATGTTTTAGAGACCGGACAGTTCGGACGCGATACCAAGTGCGGTCGGCACAAGTGACCGTCAGGCAACCGATCCGAGTGTCAGCGAGGCACTGTCAACTGACCACGACTGCCCCAGGTGTTTTCACGTAAACGCTGGTCTCAAGACCTTAGCTGGCAGCCCTATGAACTTCCTGCAGTTTGATCGATGAAAGAGGGGCATCCGCATAAGGCAAGAAAACAAGGTTTTGCTTCTTTCAAACTGAATTGTCCGCTAGAACTGCGGCTTCGAAGGCACGATGGACGGGATTGCTGGGAACGTTTTCCGCATAAAGCAAGTAAACAGACGTGAAGCGCTGTCGGAGATTAGGCACGCTGCGGGAGGCAGGGATCGTGTCCATTAGCTGAATGAAGAATCACGCACATTGACTCCAGTCCGCCCGAATGAATGATAGAGTTGGGAACGAGGTGGTCAACTGGACGAGGACTGCTCCGCTCAGCTGCTTCGCCAGCAGGTCTACGCACCCGTAGGCTGAGGATATGGTGTGTATCGGATTAGATGGAGAACACAACTCGTCCCGACTGCACCGAGAGCTGCGCCCTTAAGCGATGGCGTGGAAGCACCGGCACAGAGGCTGCGTCACGTAACGAGCCAACCCCACTGTCCGCGCTCGACCGCGGACTCCACGTAGACGAGGCTGTGTATAACTCGGCG